GGTGAGGGGAGGTGAGGTTGGGGTAGAGGCTGCCGTAAATGTGGAGGAATTGCGCCGAGTTAGTAATCAAGGCGAGGTTATTCCTATTTTAAGCGAAGTGTATTTACATTTTTAGGAATGAAAACGTTCAAAAACTATCAAAGTTACACTCGGTGAACTTGTCTTTACCGAATAATTGCACGAATAAACGTCTCACGCCAACTTTCTAGCCGAAAGTCCATGCAGAGACACTCTATGCAGTAGTTATTCGTGGGTTTAGGCTGGGGTCCAGCTGAGGTCCAACGAGGAACGCCGCAACACTCGAGAGATATTCACAGGCTGTCCGTGCGAGTTCTCACAGTTCCACCACTGCACAGTCCTCCTCACAGTCCGAACACCCACCACTCCTCTCACAACACACTCGCTATCCTCCAAACCTCTTTCTAACGTGCTCACTCTGCACGTGCGCCCGCAGTCAGCGGAGCCCCGCCGTACGCTACCCCGTACCACTACCTTCCGCCGCCAGCGCCGGCGGCCGACTGAGCTTCGCGGCAGGGCTGAGAGTCGAGACTCGAGACTCCGCTGCCACTTGACACCACAGTCACCGGGAGACCGGTGAGGTCGGAACGGGGATGTGGGGACGGCAGATCAGGTGACGGGAGGAACAGGCGGAGGTGAGCTGATAAGGTGGATGATGAGAAATGGAGAGGGAAAGTAATTGGAGAGAAGCGAAGGTGGTTTCTCGATATGGCTGGCGACTGCCCACTGAGTAATTAGCTTCTCCCACAAGCGACCCCTCCCTATAGCTCCTCCTATCAAATTTTTACTTCTCTCCGTGATTATTTGTAAACGACCATTCTGAATCTCATCGGCCATCGCCTAATGCTTGAACTCATCTATTTTTTTAAGCTTTGGTCAATGGTCATCTAAGGTCAAGTCAGCAACGGTCGGATCACGAATGACTGGACATCGTCAAAAAAAAAAATAGGCGTTTTCTTATGAGACCCGTTCGATATAAAGCATTTAGCTTTCGAGGTTTATCAGATGAAATAATGATGTAATAAACTCCGCGATCGATGTCTCTCGGACGACAAAGATTCTACGTCGTCCGGCCAATCGCGTTCAAGGTCAGCGGGGGCTCGGCTGCGGTTATGGAACGTGGTTGGCCGGACGGCGTAGAATCTTCGCCGTCCGAGCCGAGACATCGAACGCGGGGAAAATCTTTCGTTCGCATCCAGTCAATCATTTGATGTCCGCGACGATCAGCCGTCCTTTTTGCAGCTAGTGCGAATAATTAGGAACACAGGCCTATTATTACCGAGATTGTAATAAAACAAAACGTTCAACCCTGGTCAGGTCACCGGTATACCTTTGCGTGCCTGAGCGCGTACATGTAGGTATCTTTCTAATTTGTAACAATTAGGGCCTAAAAGCAACGAAGCCAATCCATCATCGGTGCAACTGCAGCAATTTCAATCCTCCGTAACCCCCAGTTCACCAGTCACGTGAAAAACCATTCCCACTACGACCTACTGCGGTTGAACTACAGCCAAAACCGTGCGACTTGCTGTCGTGTCGGTGACCGGCACTTTGACGGACCGCCAACCGTTGACCGCCTGTCCACCCGGCACGGGTCGTGACCTCTGACCTGACGGAGCGTCAACCAGACTATTTCAGTTCGCTGGAGGCCCGTCACCCAGGCGACGCGTGTGGTTTCTGAATGTTTCAGTAATGGTCCGCGTGGGACTCGCTTGAAATATTTCAATGTCGTGCACTGTGGGTGCCAGTGATTCAGTGATTACAGCGCCTCTAGCGGGAGACATGTAAACCTCAGGTTCGGACAATTGCTGTTCGGTGGCGATCTCGCCCAGATCGACTTCCAGCCAAAAGTGATCGAACACTTCCATAGTCTAGGATGTGACTTGGTTTGAATGCAATTAATACGAAGCGAGACGTCATGTAAGCGACTCAAAGACGGAATGGGAGAGTACCACATACACAGAAGTTGAAGATACATTACATGGGCTTCGCATTCCGCATTCTCGATTCTGCAATTGCCGAGGAATATAAACCAAATGTTTTGTACTATTGTTTTTATTACTGAACTTATGTGACACAATCTTGGATGCAAAACATACAAAAGTGAGGGAAGCGTACGCAAGTACCTGCACTCCTCTCATCCCAACCAAAGAAAAATGCAGGACACCATAAGATCAAGCAACAGTTGTTTACAGACACACCGACGTGCAATCCGCATGCTATCAGACATTTCGGGTTAAATGATAAAGGTGGCCAAACACAAATGAATTGTCTTTGCTCAATGTGACATGAAAATGAAAAGCATAGGTAGCAGTCCTCAAAATGAGCTCGAACGTTTGATTTTTAGTTTTACACCACATAGCACAATATTCTCAGGGTATGTACGGATGAGGATAGACCAACAGGCTCCACCGTCGACTCCATTCACACACCAGTGTCCATGAACCTCTCTCCTAAGCGCCGACTCAGCGCTCACCTACCTCGGTTTCCACTGGATCAACCAGTAGCGTCCCCTGTTCGACACCCAGAGGACTCGGTTCACCACCAGTGTCCTTGGTGACGCTCCACAGTCCACCCAAGTACATACACCGTCCAAAGGTTTTCACTGGTAGCACTCGGAGCACTGAAAGTCCACGCGTTGCGTCTTGATCCGCACTCATGCCCCAAAGGCTACCGGCTATGACTTGGTTGTCAGGGTAGCAACGCGGCATCTCGAGTACAACGTTCACCCATAGTGTCCACGGGGCCGCCCGCAGAGCACAATGTCCAGCGGCTTTATCCCGTGAGCCGACCTCAGAGCACAGTAGTTTAGCGGCTTCACTCCTCGCAACGTCTTTAGAGCACAAAATCTAGCGACTTCACTCCGTGAGTCGCTCTCAAAGCACAAAGTCTAGCGGCTTCACCCCTCGCAGACCGTCTTTATAGTACAAAGTCTAGCGGCCGGTTGAAGCCGCCCTTCCTGTTCATGTACTGACGGTATCGTCGCTTCAGCACCACGTGAACGGCGCCCTGGTTGTTCCCGTCCACCTTCTTACCTGCCGGCGAAACATGCGGAGGGGTGTCAGGCGGTCAGTGTGGGGGGGGGAGGTCGAGATGGGAGCTGTGAGAGGAGTTGGAGGTTATCTCTGGTCATCAAAAGATATTTGATGGCACGTAAGATTGAGACTCTACCACATTAAAATAAGCCTCAACTGCCTCTGAACTAGCATTAGTAGCGCTTCCATAAAGGACAAGACATCAATTTTATGGTTTACCTTCGCTTCTACCACACAGTTAAATGGTCGCTTTTATAGATAACATGATTCATCTTACCCATGCAGCTTTCAATACGGAACCATCACACTTCACAGTAACTTACCTTTGGTAGTGTCAAATCCTCCGAAGCCCATGATCTTCATCATTTCGATTTCTTCCGGAGTTTTGCCCTTAAAGTCCTCCTCTGCAAAAAAAAAAGAAGAAAAAGGATGAGTTAAAACAGGTCAGAGAAAAGTAAGAGACAATGTGCCCTGGCCCCTGGAACCAATGACTAAAAAAACGTTTGTCCAAATGCCACAACCTATGAGCAAGCAATGACGCAACATGGGAGAAACGAAGCAACACGACAAGGTCAAAATGTCTCCAAACTCCAATGTAACAAGGGAGCAAGTTGGTTTTCGGAAACGTAGAAAAAAAAACTTTAGAATTAAATCAGAGCAAGGAACTCTTAAAGGAAAAAAATGCATAGATAGCAAAACATATTTGAGAGAAAATCCAAATGTATAGCACAGCCCATTTTTGAACTCACGCCCTCTAAAAACAGCTCAAAAGTGAAACTTTCCAGACTCTTCAATGTGACCCAAAATGTTGCATTGCAACATGACTCGTATGATACAGTTCTGCAGCCCAAAACTCACCGGTGAACTCCGGCCGTTTGAGCAGTTTGGGTTTGGGCATCGATCGGCCGGCCGGGGAAGAGTCGCGCTCCATCGAGGTCTCCCCCCGGCGCTCTCTCTCCCTCTCCCGAGAGCGGGAGCGTCGCTCGGGCCTCTCTCGCTCCTTCTCCCGTCTCCGGAGCTCGCGCTCCCGCTCTCTCTCCCTCTCCCTGTCTCTCTCGCGGAGCCTCTCCCTCTCTCTGTCTCGCTCTCTCAGCCGCTCTATCTCCCTGTCTCTGTCTCCACGTCTCTCAATGTCTCGGTCCCGGGTCCGGTCCACATCTCTGTCTCGAACCCGCTCCAACTCTCTGTCTCGGGTACGGTCTCCGTGACGGTCCCCGTGCCGGTCTCCGTGGCGGTCCCGGTCCCCGTGACGGTCTGCGTAGCGGTCCGGGTCGCGGTCTGAGCGTCGGACCGGGGAGCGGCTCCGGCTCCGCGGTGGCATGGTGACTCGGCAGGAGGGGTCCGGTGAGCCCGGCTGCCGGCTGGTCGCAGAGGTACGAGTCCCTAAGGCCCTCAGTGGTACTCAGAGCCCAGAGGTACGAGTCCCTCAGTGGATGGGTTTGGAGAGGCCTCTGATCAATGCAGTGAGGTAAGAATACTACTCTGAAAAGAAGAAAAGCTTCATGTAAATGGTAATAAAAGCAATGCTTTTTTCCTCTTTGTGTTCGAAAAAGCAAAGGAAAGGCTAAAAAGCAAAGCAAATAGATACAACATGGGTTAAAATAAAGCTTAACTTCAGAATGAGAAACATAAATGAAAGCCTAATGACTAGCTTCAGCTCAGTGCTGCCACTGCTGAGCCTAATCTTCTTTTTTAAGTCGGAAGTCAGAACACATCACATCCATTTTGTTACCTATATAAAAGCAAAGATAATCTGACAGGTGAAATGAATTAAATATTTTTGTTTCCGACTTTTGATAATTAGCTGCGAGTAGCTGTGAGAAGTAACAAATTGAGTTCCAAAATACACTGAATGAAACAATCAGGAAACATCCATTTGTCTAAAGAAATGACATTCAGAATCTATTCAGTGTTCTCAAAATCACTTTTTTCATTTCTGCCAGCTGCTTTAACATGATTGCTGATTGGTACCCAAGTTGAAAAAGTTATTCTGGACTGAACACTCAAAAAGACAAATTATACAGCATAAAATTAAGTTTTATCTTGCCGGAGCCCTGTTCGGCGGCCGGCTAGTACTCTTGCAATTTTTCATATACCTGTGCCCCCGTACGTGACAGTGCTCGCGCGCGTGCTGGGTCTCTGCGATCGAAAAAGAGCACTAGCAGCACGCCACTCGACACCGCAATTGTCAAAAGCGGCATGCTAATATGCTCAGAATGATGTGTGTAAAAATGAGTTTTTTTGTTGTTAATTTGGAGGAAGTGGTTGGAATAAAATAAGTTACCTACTTTTATTTCTATTGGTTGGAATTTTTATTCAAAAGATTTCGCTCTATATCATTGATATTTACCTACTGAAAATACCTTCATTTGAATAAATAATAATTGCAGATAGTTGGCAACTGAAGTGTTAGGTAAGCCTAAATGATCGTAAAAAGGTAAGAGACACCCTGATTATCATTTGAGAAATGAACATATATGAATTTCGCTTATAAGACTCGTTCAATATGCTACTCCCCGGTTTATGCCCCGAGGGTGTCTGAGGGTTCCCGTTAGTTTGTCGTTGGCGCTTGGCTCGCACGCGAGCACACGTCATCGCCCATGACGTCGGCTCACAGAATGCATCATACCCTGCACACAAAATAGCCAGCTGCCGAACAGCGCTCTGAGCTTGAGCTTACTTACTGTTGAGCTTACTGTTGGGTCTGGATAAAGGTGTCAAGAACCACCAGAATGCTTTTGGGTATTGTGTACAGAAAACCAAACAGCTGCCGAAGAAATGATGAAATCTTGATAGAATTGATTACCAAAGCCTCAACGTTAACAAACAACCTGTTAATATGTGGTGATTTCAACCTTCCTGAGATTTCGTGGAACGACTCGTCGTCTAAGAATAAAAACAATGAGGGTTTCAACACACCAGTTGAAGTGCTGAACGTATTGCAAACAAATGGACTACACCAGCACATCAGGCACTTTACCAGAGCAAGGGGATCAAATCAACCCAGTCTTTTGGACCTACTGATAACAAGTCGAGCAGATGACATTGAAGGCGCGGAGGTATTACCTCCCTTCGGCAAAAGCGATCACGGCGTCATACAAGCAGACCTACTTATTCCTGATGTCAGATGTTTGAAAAATAATCAGCCTCTAAAAACGGTGTGGAACTACATGAAGGGAGACTATGAAAAGGCAAGGAACATGGTTTCCCAAGTTAACTGGACTGCCATGCTGTCAAACAAAAGTAGCGATGAGCAGTATGATTTACTGGTTGAACACCTAATGCAAATCCGGAAAGAATGTGTTCCTGTGAAAACGATGTGTAGGGGCAGAGATAATAATAAAATGTGGTTTAACAATGAAGCAAAAAGGAAGATTGCAAAGAAACACCGTGCTTGGAATGCCTACATGAGGGCAGAGAGGTTAAAGCTACCAGAGTTGGAAAGGTATAGAAAGAAATACATCAAGGCAAGAAAAAAGGCTCATTATGGTCTACGTAACATCAAAACAAAGCACGAAGAAAAACTTTTTCATCAGATCAAAACTAATCCCAAGCTGTTTTATGCGTACTGTAACTCCAAAAACAAAGTTCGAGAGCCAGTAGGGCAAGTTACCAAGGCAGACGGAACCCCATCATCAACACACGAAGAAACTGCCGCTGCCCTCAACCAACACTTCAAGAATGTGTTCACGTTAGAAGATGACTCTGACTTGATTTACGCCAACGAATTCTTCTCCTCACTGTCAGACGAGCAAATGTGTCCTTTCACCCACTGTCGGCATCCAGATGTACCCGAATTACATTCAGTTGAAATGCCTCTTCAACATATCATCAAGCTACTGAAAGAGCTTAAGTCCTACAAGTCACCAGGGCCAGATGATCTTCACCCACGTCTCCTAGCTGAACTCGCAGAAAATGTAGCAGTACCTTTGAGGATCATTTTCAAAAACTCGATGGACACTGGACATGTCCCTCGTCTATGGAAAATGGCATACGTCACAGCAGTCCATAAGAAGGGATCAAGAACTGAAGCCCAAAACTACCGCCCAATTAGTTTAACCTGCATATGCAGTAAAGTGATGGAAAGAATCGTCAATGAACAAATAATGAGTCATATTTTGCAGAACAACATTTTGAACCCACGCCAACACGGATTTGTTTCCGGAAGGTCGTGTTTAACAAACCTCCTCTCCACTTTGGAAGACTGCAGCCGCAGCCTTGATGAAAAGGTACCTACAGACATTGTCTATCTAGACTTTGCAAAAGCTTTTGACACCGTACCACATGCAAGACTTTGTCATAAATTATACCGATCAGGGATTGGCGGTCAGCTGCTTAACTGGCTTGAAGACTTCCTCTACGATAGGAAACAGAGAGTTGTAGTCAACGGAGCCCACTCAAGCTGGGCAAAGGTAGCAAGTGGCGTCCCACAGGGCTCAGTGATCGGTCCCACACTGTTCCTTCTGTTTATTAATGACATGCCGGATCAAATAGTTAGCCAGGTGCAAATTTTTGCTGATGATAGTAAAATCTACCGACACATCAAGTCACATGAAGATGTGGAGCGCTTACAAGGGGATCTCCAAGAGATTGAGCACTGGTCTCGTCAATGGAAACTATGCTGCAATGCTTCTAAGTGCCAGACCCTTCGAATCGGCACCAAACAAATGATGTCCGACAGACCAGTCTACATGCTCGGTGGTACTAAGCTGGAGAACACCAACGAACAAAGAGACCTGGGTGTTATTGTTGACTCCTCGCTCGAGTTCAACAAACATATCAACAAATGCACCCAACGAGCATATGCCAGTTGGGGCATGGTAAGGAGAACCTTTGAAAAGCTGAGGCCGGCAATGTTTAATCTCACATACAAAACATTTGTTCGCCCTCACATTGAATTCTGTCCCCAAGTGTGGTCTCCATATAAGAAATATAATATCAAGAAGATTGAAACAGTTCAAAGAGCAGCTACAAGAAGAGTTGTGGGACTGCAAGGGTTAAATTATCCAGAGCGGCTGAGACAGCTTAAGCTTACCACCCTAGAAGAGAGAAGAGAACGGGGAGACTTACTTGAGACCCACAAAATCCTCCATCAGCTCCACGAGTGTGACCTCACCCAATTATTTAACGTTAGAAACCGAACAGAGCGAGATTACCTCAAACTGTACAAGCCCCACCACCGGACGTTGAAGAGAGGAAGATTTTTCTCACAAAGAGTTATAAATAAATGGAATTTGTTAAGCTCTCACACCAAGATGGCAAAAACATCTAACCATTTTAAGTCAAGATACGACAAACATCGGGCAGACAGACAAGACTGACCGAAGAGAAATCAAACTGATATAGAAAAACGCGTGATTCAAAAAAGAAATGGGCTACAACATAGACCTCGACGTCTTCTTCCAGAGCCCAAACAACCTTGATTCTTGATTCTTGATTCTTACTGTAATGGCCTAGCTAGGTAACTCGGCAATCTAAATAAACTGCTCTAGAACATAACACCCAATCTAGCTGCTACCGACAGCCATTTCAACTTAATTGCAAAGCAGCATAGAAAATATGTGCTATGCTGTAGGTATATGGCCGCAAAGCTCCTCTAATTGACATATACATGCCCGTGAAGCAGATGAGACGTTTTCGGCGCTAAGCGACAAGTGACCTCGCGGGACTCGGTAACCGATCAGAGCAAAATAAACTTACCGAGCAGTATTTGCTTATTACTCTTTGATACACAAGACCAGATTCCAACCGATTTCTCTTGTCGCTCAACAGTTGGACATACAGCTATTGATATTTTCCAAAAAACGCAAATGGTTATGAAATTCTGAAACGTTTGTCTCAATGCCAAGGTTGCAGATATTCCCCGAGACTATCGACGCCATTCAGCAGCTATTCCATCCCATGACACTAAAAGTTAAACTACTGCCATTTCATAGGAATATTTGTATTGGATTTATTTCGAATATTTTATTTCTCCGTAGAAAGAACAAAAACAGCCTTCCACACCAACCAAATTCATTAAGTGCTTATCTGCTTCTTAAATTAAATTTTAACCCGGTCGCTGACACTTGAAAGCAGGTAGGTAGGTAAAGGGAAGATAAAAATAAAAAACAGTATAAGGCCTTTTGGGGGGGGGGGGTGGGACTAAATGCTTACTTCGAAATCTGAGCTGCGTTGCGGCATTGGCGGTTATGTGCGGCGTGTATGCCGCATGATTAGTAAGCGGCGACCACTAAATTAAAGACTCAAACGCTCCGACCGGTTCTCAATGAATAACACTGCATACCAAAAATGCCAACCGCTCTCGTCATAAGATATTTAGCTTTAAATAACTAGGTTATCTACATCATCATTTTGAACCAAATTAATACCGTAACCCAGCCAGCAATTCACTTGGGCTGAACTGTGGCAAACGTCGGGCAGCTTGGGCTTAGCTTGGGTTTGCCCACTTTGATCAAAACCAATGTATTTTTTACTAGGGCTGAGCTTGGGCATGCCGCAGCTATGCCCACGTGCGGATAGCAGTAGCTCAGCCCGACATCTGCCCACGCATCCAAAACAGGCTGAACTTGGGCGGAGCGCGGGCTGATCAAGCTGGCGGTGTCCTTCGGCTAACTGGAGTAAAGCCGGAGTTAAGCCATACTTGTTTGGCTGTTCGCGCATGCGCAGTTCTGCGCCAATCATGTGCAGCGTTTGTGACAGTCTGCGCGCTGTGCGACGAAACGACACACCGGTGTTGGGGCATTTGGTGGTTGATGTTTGGGCGCGTGTGACAGCGCGAAGAAGGGATAGTGCTCATTGCTCTTATCAAGTGGACTGGCATGGAGTTTTACGGTAGGTAATTGTATTGAATGGTGCGCTTGATCGTATGTAAACGTCATTATTTTGACTGAGTTTCACGCCATCAAACATGAAGCTGAATAGCTGTTCAGCCTGGCGACTTATACCCTCGCTCAGAAAAGCCGCATTCCGTGCCTTTATGTATATCTTTGTGAAATACCAGCACTTCTGAACCAGGAAAATGAAATACAAAACACAAATATTTATCTACTTATCACCGAGCACGCTCATTCTCTGTCCGCGTTGAAAAATTCGAATGAACATTGTATACGGATCAATGAGAATTGCTGTTACAGTATTAATGCAACAATAAGTTATTTTTCAAGCAAACATGCAATGTAAATTAAACCAATTGATCTCTTTTTCAGGTACGTACCATTAGAGCAAATTGTTCCAAAAAATGGAATAGTTATACAAACCAGGACCGGGTGGACGCCGCTGTCGCCCTCGCCAAGTGGCGGAAACTGCCTGCTTATAATTAAGTAGGTATACCTACATATACGGAAACTGCGCCGAAAGCTGACCGACCACCTACTGCAGATGTGTGTGTGTGGAGGAGCCAGACGCCTCCAAAGCTCCCATTCACCAGAGTGAAGTTCTTTATAAACGATTGTTTGCTAATTGCTTTATGTCTTATGAGCGATTACTTGCTGTCCTTACTTTATGCTTTCGGTTAAGTGCTCAACCAAGTATTATGAACGCCGAACGGGGAGGAAGGCTAGCGGGTCTTGTGATTGATTTATAGTTTTGATGGCGCTTTTTCATGACTCATGCCATATTATTGCTGCAGTTTGCAGTCCACTGTTTCATGTATTTGTGTTTCATTTGACGTGTCTGTAGTCGTTTGAAATAAACATTCAATCAAAGTCAACCACTACTTTCCTTTCGCAATGCTCGATGACCGGTTAACAGAGCATATGAGTGACCGTAGCAATTTTAAATATGCATTAAAACCACAAAACCTGCTGAAAGTGCATTGGCTGCTCCTTGCTACTTGATCCAGTGTGAAGCAAAAGCAAGATGAAGTCAAGTCGAGACTTGAGAAAACAGGAGCCGTCACTCGAGCCGAACCCGAGCAAAGCCACAGCAGTTTGCAATGTATAAACCCCATTCACTTCTATGGATTGAGTCGGGATAGACAGGGCACACAGAGTGGGCTTGCCGGAGTTCAGCCCGCTCGGGCCCAGAGTAATTTCCATTATATAAATGGATTCACTGCTCGGGCTTAAATCGGGCTAACGCCAATCGTCACTCAACTAGGGCTAAACTACGGCTGCCCGGAGCTCGCAGAGCGGGCATACCTCCGGCAGAGCATGGGCTTTAGTCGGCGTTTCTGTGTCATACGCCGACTTTAGCCCAAGCCCTAGCCGACTTTAGCCCGACTAAAAATCTCGGGCAATCCGCACTTGAGCCTGCTTGGGCCCGGAGCAAAATTGCTGGCTGGGAAGGTGGGGGTAATTGAGACAGTGGGGCTATTTGAGACAGTATTTAAAATTGTTATAAAATAAAAACCGTTTGAAATTTATGCTTAATTTTTGCTCAGGCGATTTACTGCTCGGTTCCACACCTTCCTGAGCAAAAATATCACATAAAAATCAAACGCTCTTCATTTTATAGCGATTTTAAATACTGTCTCAAATAGCCCCACTGTCTCAAATAGCCCCACTTTACGGTACTATCAACTTAACCCGCGCGGGGCTGGGGTCTCCAGCCGAACGCGCGGGGCTGGGGGGGAAAATTTTACCCCCCTGTTATCTCCCGAACTAATGGTCCGATTTGGAAAATTCAAACGCCAATCGAAAGCTCTCATCACGAACTACTAAAAACATGTACTTAATTTAAAGTTTGAGGTCAAGGTCAAGGTCAGGTCAAGGGTACAAATTGCAAGTTTCTACAGTATCGGCCTTGCACCGTAGTTGCCGAAGAATGGAGTCATGGACTGAGACTGATCGCCCAAAACGTGTTCTTAGGCTACCAAGACAATATTCGTTGCATACAATATCATTCAGAGGTCAAGGTCAAGGTCAGGTCAGGTCAGGTCAGGTCACCAAAAAACAAAATATAGAAAAGGGCATGTGCGACACATGTTTTATGGGTCATTTTACTCATAGAATTCAATGGGCACACTCAATAAGTGATATGGACCACCTCTGGATGAATTTCAGGTCGAGGTCAGGTCAAGGTCAGGTCAAGTGAGGTCAAATTTTGAAGTTGGTTGTTAAGGCCTAAAAAGGTGTCTATCTGATGCAGTTTTTCACGGCGAATCGAATGGTGCTATTTTTGTTTCCGTACGAGGTCTAGAACTTCCAAAAAAGTCATTTTTCAAAAAAATTGTGTGTCGTGACGTCATAAAATTTTGAATAACTCCCACATTTTTGAACCGATTCTTCTAAAATTTGGTATGTAGGTGCACATAGACCACTTCTCTGACATATATTCCGGTTTTTTCGATAGACTCAAAATTTTGGATTTTATAATAATTTTCCCAAAAAAATCAGTTTTTTGAAAAAATTTAGGCCAAAATCCAAAATTTTCAAAAAACCGAGATAGCCATTTGATAGACAAAGTAAAATTACGTATAACCTTTTTTGTTACGTCTTGATTCCTTTAAAAATGAAGATGTTAGCGGCGTTTGAACTTTTGCCGTTTTTGAGGCGAAAATGGCGAACATGACGTCACTAAAACGTCAATTTCTCAAAAATTTTCCGAGGGATTTCGCTCAAATTTTCAGGGAACGTGTCAAATTGATGTAAGAAAAGGTACTGAAAGTTTGGCGGCGCTGCGCGCCGCCGTTTTTGAGATATCGCAAAAATTCGCGAGGGGGGGTAAAATTTACTCCCCTCCAGCCCCGCGCGGGTTAACTCACTCATTCCTTCCTTTGTTGGCTCCAAACAGTCTTTCGATTGTCTGGGGCGACTAACGGAGCGAGCGAGAGGGTGGGCCTTGCACGTACGAAATTTCGAGGGGGTACCTCCAACTGACTTGTGCACGGCACCTTACTAGCCGATCTCTAGCGATGTGCCAAATTTGAACACAATCGGCCCAGCCGTTCTCGAGATCTGGAATCGACCCCTGCACGTGCGCACGTGCAGGGGTCCATATGACTATATGACTATATGCCCATATGACTATGGGCTGGTCTGTCGGCCGCCCATAGTCATACCTGATAGGCCTACCTACCCAATTATGGAATATAAACCCAAATTTTAAAATTATTCCTCGAATGATTCGCACTAGCTCGTAAGGCGTAAGTAAATTTTGCCTATCACTCCTGTTTTCTCCCTCCCTTTCTCGACTTAGTAATAGTAACCCATCTCTAAGTACGCGACGCGGTAGGATGATACACATTAGAGCCGAGGCCCTGAGACCATTAATCATCGATGCTGGCGTCTGTCGTTCCCACCACCTAACATCAACATCCAAGCCTCTGCTCTCCTCACCACTTATCAACAAACAGAGACGGAGTCGGTCTCAGTTAGCCCGGGCTGCTCGACCGGAGAGAGTCAGTCAGTGAGTCTCCGCAGTTATCGCTCCTGCTTAGGAACCGTGTCTCGACATCCCCTTCAGAAGGCAGTCAGACAGAGAAGGCAGTGACCCGAGTCCGCCAGTGACGTGGCCCTGGTGTGAGAAGTTTCCGTGAAGTTTTTAGCTTCAGCATGGGTCCTTCAGCGTATTGGGCCGTAACTGTGACTGTGGTGTGCGCTTTGGCGTGCCGTAGCTTCGCCCTAGTCGGTTATTCTACATCAGACAGCGGTAGCGAAGGAGGTGAAGATGATGACCTCGCGGCCGTCATCGACAGGAACATCAGAGCAGCAGTTGAAGGCGTGGTGGACATCCTCGGCGCTTCACTGAACACGATGAAGACAGAGCTGACCTCGCAGCTGGAAGCCGTCCAGACGGACCTCGAGGGTCAGCTGGATCGACTCGAGACCCGACTGATGACTCGCATCCAGCGTCTCGAAGCGCAGGTGAATGACGTCACTCCTCAGATGATGTCACATATTCGTGACGTCCAGATGGCTCTGACCCAGCAGAACACTGACCTATCGGCGCGTCTGCAGGACACCCAGTCGCAGCTGCAGAGTCAGATGGAAGTCGGATCGGACAACATGTTCTCCCAGCTGGTGGACATGCAGTCGCAGCTGCTGACGGCGCTGCTGACCCCTCGCGACTGCAGTGACCTCCCCGACTCGGCGAGGAGCGGCGTCTACCTGCTGTGGCCGAGTCCGAACCGCGCGGTGCCTGCCTTCTGCGACCTCAGTAGCGCCGGAGGACGGTGGACGGTCATTCAGCGCCGCGCCGATATTCGCCCCCGGACTGACTTCAATCTCGGCTGGGAGGCGTATGGCCGCGGCTTCGGCGCCGTGCTGGGAGAGTTCTGGTGGGGTAACGAGAACCTCTACCGCCTGACGGCCATCCAGGGTCGCCACTACGAGCTGAGAGTCGAACTGGAGAGCGCAGACGGCGAGACGAAGACGGCGACGTACAGAACCTTCCGCGTGTCGGGAGTGGCTGACGGCTACCGTCTAACCGTGTCGGGCTACTCGGGTGACGCCGGGGACAGCCTCTCCGGCAGCTCGGGTCACAAGTTCTCCACGAGGGACCGGGACCAGGACGGCAGCGAGGACCACTGCGCCGCACTGTGGGAAGCAGGGTGGTGGTACGGCGCCTGCCCCCACAGCAACCTCAACGGGCCGTACCTGGCGCCGGTCAACTCCAGCAGCCTGTACGGCGTGGTGTGGCCGCAGTGGCTGCAGGCCGCCTCGCTGAAGGCCGTGGAGATGAAGATCAGACCGACCGAGTCGCCCGCCACCGGGGTTGTGAGTGAGCCGTACCAACGGAACTGAGAAGTGTGCTCTTCTTTATCTCGTCACAAGTCCGCCATATTTGGCGACTCGCAGGCGCTGCATGGAACGGCAAAGCATTTTAACATTTTTAAGCTATCGGTGAGCCTTCGCCTTTCCTGTTTAGTCGGCTGCCTGTCGTTTGTCGCGGAGAGAGTTCAGGCAACCCGTATGAGATGACGATTATCGGAAAATAGCGATCGCAGAGCAATCGCTTAATTCGAGAGGCCCGAGGAGGAGGTAATAACTATGCATGCTTTGTCTTGAATGTTGATCAAATATGTGTTAGCATGTCGAAGGACCGTTGAAAAACGTCAACCAGCCATATCATCCACTCAAGTACCTATACGGGGGATGTAACTTGAAATAACGTAGAAATACTTTGCTCAAAATGTTGAGCGGGAGATAACTGCAATATGTTGAATATCCAACGCCATAAAACCGCAACAGCACTGGAATGATGAGTATCTTTATTTCACACAGAAGCTTGTGGGGGATGTCGAGGCCGATTTTATGGATCTTGACAACCAGTATCAAAGCATACTAAGTGCTTATCCACTCACTAAAATTGTGCTTTGTGGTGATTTGAACTGTGATTTGCTAAAACCACGCTCTGACCACTGTAAAAGAAGTCTTCACGATTTTATCACAGACTACTGCCTAGTGCAATGTGTGACTGATGCGACGTATTCTACAGGATCATTGCTTGATGTTTTGATGACAAACTGCAGCCAGATGATTCAGCATTGTTACACTAGTTTTTGTCATTTTAGCCCTCATAAGATTGTTTTCGCCTGTATGCCTATCCCTCGTGTCCGCCAGCCTCGTCGTATCACTAGATCTCGCTGTCTTCGTCGCATCGACTTAGATGCACTTAAGCTTGACCTCACTCTAGCTGATTGGGATCAGGTATTTGCTGCACCAACAGTCAGTCTGAAATGGGAGTACTTTCTCCAGTTATTTTTATCTATTCTCGATGTACATGCTCCATTGAGAACATTCCGTATCCGAAATGTTGCAGCCCCGCCATTAAGTGTGGAAACGAGAGAGCTCATGCGTTGCCGCCGTGCAGCACTCGCCACCGGCGGTCATACCTCATCTGAGTACAAAAATCTGAATCGCGCTGTACGATCGGCCATCAGACGCGACATCCGGCTAGACATTCAGCGGCGGATCAATGATGGAGGTCCAAATTCCACATGGCGAGCAATAAGGTCTGTTGTGGGCACAAAACAGGCTGATAGAAATTTACCTACAGCAACGGCTGATCAGCTGAATGAATATTTTGTTAGCGTTGGCCCACGAGCGGCGAGCGAGGCAAGGAACTCAGGGCCGACCCATGACCTCCCATGTCGCCTACCGCGGGTGGGTGCCTGTGCATTTAAGCTCACCCCACTGACTCTCCCAGAGCTGCGTGATGTGATATTTCAGATGAGCGGATCATCTACCAGTGGCCAGGATGGCATCAATATCCACATGATCCGTATATCTTTTGCTGCAATTGGCAATGTGCTCCTGCACATTGTCAATTCTAGTATTTCTCTATCTGAAGTACCTTCTTCTTGGAAGCACTCACTTGTTTCTCCAATTTATAAGTCAGGAGAATCCTCTAAACCATCCAGTTATAGACCGATTTCGGTAGTTCCCGTGATCGCCAAAATCGTAGAACGAGCCGTTCACCAGCAAGTTTACACTTATGTTTCTAGTAATCATCTTCTTTCCTCTACTCAACATGGTTTTCGTCCACGCCATTCAACCGAAACAGCTCTGCTGACCGTCTCTGATTATATCCTCTCCGCTAATGATCGAGGAGAGCTTTCATTCCTGTGCATGCTTGATCTAAGTAAATGCTTTGACGTAATTGACCACTCCAAACTCCTAACAAAATTACAGCTACATGGGATTGATGTCTCATGGTTTTCAAGCTACCTTATGGGCCATATGCAAAGTGTCACATTTTCTGACAGCTTGGGAAACCTCCGATGCTCCAAGCCGCTCCCTAATAATATCGGTGTATTTCAGGGCTCAGCGCTAGGTCCATTGCTTTACTGCATTTTTGCAAACGATCTCAGTCTATTTGCTGATGATGCGATGATCGTGCAGTATGCAGATGACACACAAATTTTAGTCAGTGGTAAAAAGGCGGAATTCAATCTTGTTGTTAGCAGGCTGGAACAAGTGTTGGAATCTCTGGGGTCATGGTTCCGAGCTAACGGGCTCAAACTTAATTCTGAGAAAACTCAATTAATGTTGTTAGGTAGCCCACAGAATTTGCGAAACATTTCCAGCTATGTTGTAAAATTTGATAATTGTAATTTGACTCCTGTTTCCGAAGCGAGGAATCTTGGAGTTCATTTTGACTGTGCCCTTAGCTGGGACACTCATGTTTCTGTTGTTGTGCACCGTTGTTTCGGAATTCTTACCGGATTGTCGCAACTGAGGGGCCATTTACCGCCATCTACCATTTCTATTCTAGTGGATGCCTTAGTTTTATCTCATATCCGCTACTGTTTATCCGTTTATGGTAATACCACAAACAAAAATCTTCTTCGGATTCAGAAAGTGATCAATTATGCCGCTAAAGTCATTTTCCGTCGCAAGAAATTTGACCATGTGTCCGATCTGCTTCAACGTTTGGGCTGGTTGAAAGCTAATGAGCTCGTCCAGTACCACACTATGTGCAATTGCATGGTTCATAGAGTACGTCGCGCAGGCGAACCTGAAGCACTGGCTGAAAATCTCATTAAAAGCTCAGAGACCCGTGACCGCAATACTAGACAAAACAACACATTGTACGTACCAATGTCACATACAGAGATGGGACGAAGGCGTTTCTGCTGTCGTGCACCTCGCCAGTATAATGCGCTGCCACATGATCTGACGTTACGCTCGACGCCAGCTTTCCGGAGTCACTTAGTAAGCCACCTATGTGACAGTCGCACCGTGACTGGGCAAGAGTGACGTGGTCCGATGTCCGAACTATTAGAGCAATGACTATCGAGCGATTGTTGTTAAATGTGGATGATTCGTCTCGTGTGTGTATAAGATGTGCTATTTTTTTACAGCAACCTAGGCGTGGTTTATGATAGGGCAGGAAATGCTGTGTACATATGTTGCATGCTTTGTACTACATAACTGAGACTGTAATAGCCCCGAGTACATCGAGGATTGTCTCATTAAATACATTACACAACATAAGTGAGGACATGTGTCAAACCTCTTCTCGGTTTCTAAATACGAATTTGATCGAGCGACAAGCTTATTTGAGTATACTCGTGATAAATACGTTAATGCATGGAAATCGCAAGTTGAACAAGAAAAAGCATACATGTTAATAATACCACTTGCGTTTTTTGTTATCTAGGCAATCTGTCTAACGGTAGCCCAGTCGATTGAATATTTTTCACATGTGTCGAGTGCTACCTACTAGCGCAGAAAGCATCTAATTACAGCTATAGCTATAAAAAGGAACGGTCCGCAAATCTCACTGCTTTTCATTCAAAATAGATCACGTATCAAATATCGTGGGATAATGCCCACAAATTCAGATCCTCATCAAAGACTGGCAAAAGCAATCGAATCAGTCCCCAGTTGGGGTCAGATTCCGGCCTGAGCCTCAGACACGGGACAAATTACAACTGAAGAGCCAACACCAGCTAGGGGTCAGGTCACCGCTGGTTCGCCGGCCTCCATCACTTCAATAAGGCACCGGCCGGGGCGACACGTGACACGAGCAGGCCGAGGGCAGCTTGAACGAGTCCACATGCAGGCCACGGTCGTAGCTGTAGGCCACGAGGCGCACGAACGAGTACTTCTGCAGACAGGCGGACGGGAAGAGGTGGTCGACGAAGCTGCACGCGGCGCCAGGGTACCTGCAGGAACGGGGAGGGGTGGGGGTTACGTACTGTGGAGCTGGTGGGTTAAACGTGGGCACTGGGCATTGTGTTGGTGCCTTTGTTGTTGCTTGCATTACCATTTAGCCGCAAAGAGAGAATCACCGGGGCATGTTTAACACATTTCGACTGCATTGTCAGCGAAAATGTCAGATTTGTCGTTATACTCAAAGTCCCTGTCTTTACCTCCGGGGTCCGGATCGTAAAAAATTCCTCTCCCGACGCCACTTAAAGGGACACTCCCACCTTAACATTAGTTTTGAGTTGAGATAGCCAAATTGGTGGCCATGGCCTGCAAATACCGGTTTGGGCACTCACAACATCGACAAATGCTTTAATTCGGAGACATGGAATTTCAAACTTGCAGTTTTCGGATTCTAAGGGGCTAGTGCATTGGTATGCCCCCTTAGAATTTGTGACGTCAGCGGAGATCTAACGATTTTTAAATCTTTTACTAAAACGTTTGGTAGCACGCGGTGGTATATGCTGCTTTGCGCGCAACAAATGCCGCACTTTCAAATAAAGTCGCTAGGAACAGCGGAGATCCCAAAAAGTAAACAAAAGTAAAAGTCTAATATCTTGAAAACCGGTGAATATTTTTCGATGAAATTTGGTAGATATTTGTTTTCGCTCTTTCTGAACCGAGCGACATCACTTTCGTGCCAATTCATTAACTTTTTTGAAGGTGGGAGGGTCCCTTTAATTACCTAATTCTCATCCTGCCAATTTCTTCTCAATGCCAAACAAAATTCATTTTTGTCAATTTGCAACTAGCTTTTATGAGGCCCCAAATCCCATATGCTTCGCTTTTCGCTCCCAGTTTTGTTCCATACGGCTACCAATCCAATTATTATCCCAAATCTGCTTTCAAGTCTGAACCCTGGTCTTTTCGACCACAGCTCGCCACCATTACTTACACGCAGCTCTCGAGTCGCGAGGTCTGCACATACTTCTTGTACTTGGGGTCGTGTCGGAAGTTATCGGGCAGATTAACGATCACCTTCCATTCTCCGAAAGTGTTGACGGCGCGCTTCACCCGGCCGTAGAAGATGTCGGACGGACAGATGTAGCCGCCCTGCTCCTGGTAGCTGGCGCCGTAAGCGTGGCCGTCACTGAAAGAACACAGAAGAAGGTCATAGCTCATAGCCTGGGCAAGCGCGATATGCTTTTTGAAGCATGCATATCGAATATGTCATATCAATTTAATTGTGACGCGAGATAAGCCCGCAGGATCATCTTGATCGGCATCTCCTGTCTCCCTCCTATCTCCGGCGTATCATCTCCTATCGGTATCTCCTGTTGGTCAGAGGCAGGGCTATCTATCCCTGTTTACAATGGTTCTCTTGCTCCCGATCCGACGTAATCTTTTCTTTTATAACTTCTGTTGGCTAACCCCTCGTCCTTGTAAGTGTAGTACTTACGCGTGCGTCAGGTGGTCTCTGTCGGTCAGACCGAAGTAGTGCTGGCGGCTGTAGCTCTCCTCCTCCGCCTTAGTCAGACCTGAGAAAGGGGTAAAGGGAGCGTTGATTTTTCTTCCACCGGTTTGCCAGATCATATGCCCGTGAGGCTAAGTAAAAGCATAAAAGGATGTAGGAAATAGCTGACCTCAAAGCTCTAAACGATTGGAGACAATTTTATGCTAAAGCATAGGCACAAATGAAATAAAAACGCTTAGAAGGCCTATTAGGGCAAAGGGAACATAACAATTGTAAAAAAGAAAGAAATGTTCCAATAAGTTTTTTTTTTAAACCATGGAGGAAAAATCACTTGTTAGAGGAGAATAAAATTGGTAGAGCACAATGACAGGGCAGGTAGGTATGTGTTCGATCAATAATGGAAATTATATGTAAAATTTGAGGTCCTCACCGTCGACGAGGTTATCAGCTGACTGGTAGGTGACGTCACTCATCAGCCGGTCGGTCAGCTCGGGGTTCTTCTTCAGCTCGTGGATGATGTAATCACTGCGGGGAATCAGCGGTGAGTTGCGCATTATTACGGAGCGAGCGAAGCGAGCGTAGTCTTTCCTTAGATACGGAAATTAACGGAAAAAATAACGGAAATTTCTGAGTATGAGCGGCCGGCCGGCCGGCCGGCCGGCCGTGGTCACGCTTTTGCGAGGCTTATATCTCAGCAACCACTTGACCGATTTACACGCGGTAATTTTTGTAGGGTAGCTTCATTCCTTCTACCAAGTATTGGACTATTCCCGATGCATGTGGGTGACCCCTTATGCACGTGCCACGTGCAAAACGAAGAGGTGTCACTTTTGTAATTGTTGCAATATCTCGGTAACTACTTGGCCGATTGCGCTGAAAGTTGGCATGTAGGTAGGCACCCACTAGGCACTGCATATACATGTGCCGGAGTTGGGGTGCTGCTGCACGTGCGCACGTGCAGGGGTCGTTTCCAGATCTCGGGAACGGCTGGACCGATTGCGCTCAAATTTGGTACACGGTTGGGGACCGGTTAGTAGGGTGCCGTGCACAAGTCAGTTGGGACCCATTTTGCACGTGCGCACGTGCAGGGTGCCGCTTCCAGATCTCGAGAACGGCTGGGCCGATTGTGCCCAAATTTGGCACATCGCTAGAGACCAGTTAGTAGGGTGCCGTGCACAAGTCAGCTGGAGGTACCCCCTCGCAATTTCGCACGTGCAAGGCCCACCCTCTCGCTCGCTCCGTTAGTCGCCCCAAAAGGCGTTATACTGGTGTAACGAAGCCGTTTGCTCTAATTTACATTATAATGAAAAGCCCAGGCAAATTAGATTCCCAGGCAAATAAGCTTTACAATATTCAGATAAAACATGAGCAATAGAAGCACCCGTCTGATTGGCAGTGTCTTACATATTGCTCCTTCCACTTTATACTTTACCTTCCAAGTTCCACTTTCCACATTATGTTGTATTCCTAATTTGATCCATCTTTTGCCGTCGACCTTTTTCGTTTGGTCATCCTTTGACCTTCGTTTCTTTAGCCTAGTGTTTATATTTTTTGAAGTCTCTTGTTGCAATAAAATATTGCACAGCATAATGCCGGAGTCATCCCTGCTCGCCCGACTCACGTGGGGTAGGCGGCGTCGTCGAGGCAGGCGGTGACGTTGTAGGCCAGGTGGTTGACCAGCGCGCACTCCGGCACCACGTGCGGGTCGTAGTGGTACGGCGCGTGGTCCACGTGCGCCACGTGCGCCACGTGCTCGTCGTGGGCGGCGTGCAGCGGCACGTGCACGGTCTTCTCAACGGGCGCCTGAGGGGAGAAGGTGTTAGGTATGTGCTGTATGTCACAAGTCTGTCACTAAATGCCATTGTTGTCCACAAAAAGACACCTGTTTTCCCTTAACATAAATAAGAAGCAAGTGTTTACTTAAAAGAAAGGAGATACATAAATGCAATTTACTGTATTATCATTTATACTAAATGCATCGTCAAACATTATGCATGCCTCGGCGGCGCCTAAATAATTGTGAATTTCCTTGAACTGATAGCCGGTAAGCCCAATGTCATGATCACTCGTTCGTTGCAAATTGTTGGCATAATGGCGAGCATAACGACTTCCTGCGCCGTCAACAGAGCTTCACTTCTCGTAAGTCACACGTCAGGGCGTCCAATGCTAAGGTCATAGCCATCAATGATTCCGTGCGGGCATGAAGGACATTGAAGAAATATAGAGCAATCAGCGTGCAACTGCCACGTCATGCAGCTATAAAACGGCTTCACAAAGCATGACGAAAATGACTACCAATTTGTTTTTGACCTGTTTTCTGGCATAAATTGACTTACGGCCCGGTAAGGAGGGCATAACGCAACTTTTTTAAACGGGCCCTTTAGCTATTTTGTAGCTTATTGACGGACAAGTTGATACTAGCTCGGCCTTATTCATTTCTCAGTCTACCACAATGCCAAATTCAGCAATCGTTGAATAGCTCGTATTTATATAGTTCAACCGTTGAATATAACGTATATCGTAGTTCGACTGTATCTATGACTCACTGGTGGGTAGGGCGGCACGAACACGGTCTTGTGGACGGGCTCGTGGACGGCCGTGTGGACGGGCTCGTGGACGGCCTTGTGGACGACTTTGTGGACGGGCTTGGCGTGGACGAGGCGGTGGTGGACGTCCGAGTCGGCGGTGCGGAGGGCGTCCCGCTCGTCGTAACTGTCATGCGCGCTGCGGTACACACCTCCGCGCTGCAGGACAGACGGAGAGTGGGGTGGTTAGAAATTGAGGAATAAAGGTATCTGTAAATTTACGTTCAGTGGAGGTGCCAAAAAAAAAAAACAGAATGAACGACAATCTGTTAAAATGTATGATAAAAAACAGTATAAATGGTAAGGTGATCGGAAAAGTGAAGGCAGAACCACTAAATAATTAAGTTTGGAATGCTCAAAAAGTGAAACACATTTATCGACTCACGTAATCTGGTAAACAGCCGATTGAGTGAATTCGATTCAGCCATAGCATTTATGAATAAAGCATCAAAAAGGATAAATCCATGGAATAATAACAGCAAGCAATAGCAAATAATGAGCCCGTCAATACTTGATATGGCTGGGTGTGGTACGATTTATTGTTCTCTCTTTTTATGCAGAACAACGTTGCAGATGATTCCGTACCTTGTGGCCATATGCAATCCGTTTCACTGGAACCGCCTTTACCAGAACTCTCCTGTGAGGAGCACCTGTGAACGGAAAAATGTGGTCAGTTCTGGCAAAATGTAACCTTCATGCTCATTTTAACCCTCGCCCGTATAGGGGGAGGGGGGTCGAACGGACCCCCTCCCCCATGGTTTTTCGCGAATAACTCGCGTAAAAAGCTGCCGATCGCGACGAAACTTTCAGTACCCTCGCGTTCATCAATTTTACACCTACTCTGAAAATTTCATGACCCTGACCCAAATGACCTTTGACCTGTGACCTACTTTTCGAGACCATGTTTGGCCAGAATCGCGATTCGGCGTATGTCGGCTCGCATTAGCCGCGCGTTTGCAGTCTTTTCGTGGTTTCAAGCGTTCAAACATGTGATATGATGTTGCCTCCATGCATTAGGGTGGGTGTCAAGGCCACCTGAAGGTCAGGTCAGTTCATTGACCTTCGATGACATCATGACCTCGGTTCAATTTTTTCGAGTTTTACATGTTTCTAGGCCAGTTTTTGGAGCTGAATTCGAATTTAGCAACCATATGAACATTTACGAAGTAGTTTTGGTACCTTCGTAACATGTTACGAAGCTGTCAGAGGCGGTTGCCACCTACTACGAATACCCTTACTGGTTGACCTGACCTGACCTGACCCGACCTGGCCTAAATGCATGAAGACATCATCTGTGATCAAAACTAACATGATATTCGTGATCAGCACCCCGAAAAACCCTATAGCAGCCACACTTTACGACGTTCTAACAGGTCCCGATTTTCCCGACTTTTGGGTCATTGACCTGACCTGCAAGGTCAACCAATGACCTAGGACCTTAAAATTGGGTATCATCGGCTTCCTCTCGTCACGGGCAACACGCTCGTTTTTTTCCGCGAAGCTCTAGCTCGATCAGGGGCGAAACGGCAAGCTGGGGTCCAACGGAGCCCCCCCCCCCCCCTTATACGTTCGCGGCTGGAAAAACACCAATACGGGCGAGGGTTAAAAAGCTGTGTTGCAAAAGTAAATAATGATTGTTTCAAACGCATTACCTAATGCTTAGACTTAGAGCATTGCCGTACTGAATCGATACGTTTAGTTTTGCCCATTTTTTGTATTTAACACGGTCTCTGTTCACCGCTCGGGCAGAGCTGACTTTGTAAAAAAAAAGAAGTTTGATTTGGCATATGTAAATAGCATTCTGACAAAATTTTCGTCAGTTTTCTATCGTCCAGGGCCGCAGCTCGATGTACCCAACTGCGCCTCGACCTTGGTCGCCGAGCGCAGAAAGGCTGCCCTGCTGAACTTTGGCGGTAAATGTCACAGACTTGCGTCACGGGCGCGCTGACAGTTTTGGCGCGACAGGCGCTGAACCGGACGTTTTGGCGCGCCGCTGACACCGCACATCACGGACACGGGGTGAACGCTGAACGCTGAGTCCGCCAGCTCTCAGGATTGGGTGCTGTTTACATTTCTACTTTATCCATATGATACCATTGAATTCCGGCCAGAAATAGACACGTCCGAAAGTGAAAGCTGACAGACCAAGAAAAAGTTGATTTAGAGTGTCATGAAATTTATTTTTATAGTAACTTAGATCATTTGGCATGCTCCAAATCGAGCTTTATATTTGAAGGGGTTTTTAGGTCAGTGCTGTTAGAATTACTATAATAAAACGTAAAACTACTAATACCCGGGCTGGAGTAAAAGTCCGCACGACGCAGTACGCGCTGCTTTCATACGAGGGGGTATCGAAAAGTTCTGATCATCACATAGAAGATATAGACCGATTTTGATGATTTTTGGTTGGTATTATATTTGGTTCTTAAGAACAATGTTCCCGCAAAGAGAACCCTGAGAAGTGGTTCTATCTTATGTAGGAGAGACTTAGAAGTAAAAAAGATGAGTATTGGGCCCATTGAGGACCGAACCGTCCTCCAACTAATGCATTTGAGACGGTATCTCACTGAGAAAATACATCAAGAACGTGAAATTAGTTTATGGCGAGGAAAGCCCATCTCATGCTCTTACCGAAAATGAAGAAATAATTTTCAACTTGGTTGCATGGCCCTTGCAGGGGAGTCAAGAAGTGAGTGACTACCAGTGACTGACAAGGTGGTGACTGTGAAGGAAGTGGAGGACCTCATCCTTACAGATCGTCTTGTGACCTTTCATATGATTGTGCAACAGAAAGGTCTCAATGCTGGCAGTGCCTGAAAATATTATCAGCGAAGAACTACAGACGATAAAGGAGTCAGCCCGCTTAGAAGTTCGTGTGTCTACTTTGTTCAAGAGAAAAATGCGTCTTGCCCTTTCCAAAGGAAAACTAGGCCTTTTTTAGGAAATTGAAGACATCTTCGATCATTTGATGACTTGTGACGAATGCTGGGTCTATGTGTATGATCCAGAGACAAAAAGATGATCAAGAAGTTTAAGCACGGCACATCTGTCCTTCTTAAAAGGCGAAGATGCAGAAGCCGATATGGAAGGTCAATGCTATCAGTGTTCTGGATCTGGCGTAGGATAGTCATTACCGACTGTCTTGATGATGGTCGGAATTGATAAGCAAGCACTACTGCACACTTTTGAAGAAGTTGCTAGATGGCCTCAAGTAGAATCGCCGCAAAAAAAGCCAAGAAAGATGTTTTATCCGCACCGACAGCGCCCCCGCCCATTCGTCCTGAGCTGCGATTGAAGAAACAACATGATGTGGACATTAAATCCTACTGCATCTAAGAAATTCACCTGACCGGGTATTAACTGACTCTTGATAGTTACGGGAGATGAAGAATCCATAGTATGGCCGGTGATTTAAGGACAGAAATGACGTCATTGATGAGATGGAGCAGTGATTTACGGGACAGTGCGAAGGTCCTACAATGACCGCCTGAGGCAGCTCAAGAAACGATGCAATAAGTTTGCGGTCGTGTGTGGTGACTTATTAAGAAGTAATGAACATCATGTAAAAAAATCAAATTTCTATCACATCTAATTCATGGTGATGATCAGAACTTTTCGATACCCCCTCGTACACTGACGGTGAACGTCTTTGTACTTACCAACGTAGCCGTAGCCCCTGCCGTAGGAGATGCCATTTGCGCTGCAGGACGACAGCGCCAAGGCAGACAGCAGCAGCTGTAATAGGCGGTACCGGTGCGTCAATTTGACTTTACCAAAGGGTAGCTGCAAGAGGCCAATGGTCTACCACCAGCAGTTGCGAAGATGCGTTTTACTTTTTCTTGAATATGTAGAATTATTTTGAATAACCGTTGGTTTATTGCAATGTACATTACTTTTTTTGGTTAAAAAATAGAAAAAGCTATCTAGCTGTACCGACGAATAATGATTAAAAATTGCAATTGTCCGTAAAATATTCATGTGTATGTGAAAAACGTCTATTTTTGGTTCGGTCTTCTTTCTGTAAGATAAAAAACGCATCTATAATTTATTTCTATGTACTTAGATACTAAATAAATTACGTCATCGAAAACAATAGAACTATCAGAAGCCTCTGCGCACACTGATCCGCTTACCGTTCCGAGAGCGCAGATAGCCATTTGGGCGGCTGTCAGTTCTTCTGTAGGCTGTGGGAGCTAACACCACACTCCAGTACCTCCCGGTGGCCACCACAGCTTAAATACCCTCCCAGCCTCTGCCCGGGGCACTGGAGCGTCCCATACCCTCTCAGGGGGGGGGAGGGGGGCGGGGCTGCCGCGTGCAGCGTGAGTCAACAGTTACCTTCGCGGCCGCCCCGCGCGGATATCCGCAGCTCCCGGCCGCGCGATTTTCGCGTAAAATAGCGAGGTGGTATGAGCACCAGAGTTCCGCCTAGTGGGCACCCCTACTGTGAGTCCCGTGGAGTCAATCATCAAAGGCAGCGACCGATCACCCTCCGCCAGCCCCCCCCCCCGCCCCCGTCAACCCCCCAAATAGATCACATGTCTTGGGATTTGGAAATATGTAGATTGTGGGCGAGATCATTCTCTGATTTCACAGCTATTAACGAATTGTTTGTATTTAGTGAAGCAATGACCTCAAGAACTGAAGAAAGGACTAAGATGGAAGTAAGTTTTACGCTAAATCGACATCACTTAAAATATGCAGTGCTATTTCGATTTTCTACGTCTCTCTTTTTACGGGTGCACAGTGCATAAATTCTATAAACACCATCAACTGGAACCGTACATGTCTTGTAGTCATCCGTTGCTTTCGTGCATGAAATGGTTCCGTTTGTTCAACTTTGTTGTTTTCCCTCTTCCACCCACTCCGGTTCGCCTGCCCGGTCTCCGGTTCGTCTGCCCCGTCTCCGGTTCAGGTTAGGTCGGCCCGTCTCACGTTCTTTCGGCCCATCTCGGGTTAGGCGGCCCAGTGTACCCGCGGGGAAAGTGCCAGCGCAGTCGAGATGTCCAGGCTGGGTTCGGCGGCCCGCAGTCGGCACGGGGCGGAGCCTTTGACATTTTATTACTGGAAATATACCGAGCCGCAATTTTTCTGACTAAATGTATCAAATAATCATGTACTAGAATAAAAAATCGCTATTTACAAAGTATGTGATTCGATGGCCTCCTGGATTACAGCTTATACAATATTTTGGAGGGAAAGTACTTTTTTTTTGCAAGGATTCTAATAAACCTAAGACATTTTGTCCCACTATGTTGATATCGAATTGGTACCAATTTGTAAAATGGCCCGTCATGAAAAGGGCTAATGTGATACCCAGTGTCCGCATGGCGGTGTCAGACAGTAGCTACAAAAAAAAACGACAATAATGATCAGTTTTGCCCGTAATTGTAAATTTCTAGTCCCAGTCGTGTGTATGGCAAGTGACTTCTTAGGCTAGATAAGTTGAGGATTATCAGATGAAGATTGTTTTGTTCTAGCCTCACTGACTGTTGGTTGATTTGAAGCAATTTAGGTATATGACATGGTGACAAAATTATGTGCAATGCTATTTTTTTTCGATAAGCAATTTAAGTGGCAAGCCGCAAGCCCCAATCAGCAAGACATGCGACATCCATCGCCTATGATAAAGTGTTCAGAAAAAAGTTGTCGAATGTGCATTTAGGATATAACTGACATCTATTCCTCAAAAGGCACTACTCTTGATGTGTCTGCTTGCTCCAGCGAGTTCAGCAGTTTCGCGTGTTGCTCGTCCACGCTCTACTGAACACACTGACAACTCTGAGTCAGGGAGCGGTGGACCATTTCGACGGCAAAGTGGAGGACAGACATCAGCGCACGCGGCCGGACCCGTCAGACCTTCAGCTCCCCTCTGCCCCCCCCCCCCCTCGAGCCGGAGACCGCTCCGGCACGGGTCAACGGCTAGTGACGTCACCCAGGATCCGTAACGGTGACGTCATGGGCGCTGTGTGTGACGTGATGACCTTCGGTGCACAGCGGGTGGGCGGGAGGAGGGAGGGGCCGGAACCGATCTGGATCACGATTGTGGGAAGTTGTGGGCACCTGGAGCTATAGATAGGACTTACTTAGATACAGATCGTGGTGAGATTTCTCTATACGGCCTTGGTGAGATTTCTGTTGTGATCATTTAACCGGCATAGTTGCATTCACGGCAGTTCCGCTTCCATATAATAGGCTGATAAAGTTATAAGTGCGTTTTGACGTGCATTTTTTCGTGAAATGCACGAACGGTTTAACTATTTGAGTGAAACGCTTCATAGGGAAGTGTCTCAAGAGACAAGTGATGTGCTGAACCTCCTTCAGATCGGGGCGTTATCTTTGCCTTTACATTGTATATTGTTTGACATACAATTACTGTTTTATAAGTATTCACAGAGTATTCAAATAAGTTTAAACAAACGCACAACATTTCCCCACCCATTCTGTAGCTTTTCAGCACCACAGTGGCAAAGACTTATGCAGCTTAATATTTTTAGTTTGTTTTCATTTATTTTTGAAACACTTTTTCACATAGTGTTTAAATGCATTGCATATGTCGGTCATTATATGACAAACATACGTGTCTTGTTTTTAGTGTTGTACTCATCACCAAAGTGCACATTTAACGCACCTTTATGGAAATCTTCTGTTGAACTCGCTGGCGGATCTGGTCTGCGTTCTTGTTCTGGTAACATTGCGAGTGCTGCCACTGGTCCTGGTGACTGTTCCCCTCCCGCTCTGGATGACACTGTTGATCAGGTCGTCGATGTTGAGGGAGCCGATGTTGAACGGGCGGTTGAAGAAGGAAGGAGCGGATGTTGGGAACGCAAATCGTGGTCTCCTGGTGGGAGGAGTGATGGGGAGGAGTATAGGGGATTCTGTGGGAGGTGTGGGAGGTTTGGTAGGAGGTGTAGGGATTTGTGTAGGTGGATCTGTAGGAAATGTAGGGGGTTCTGTAGGAAATGTAGGAGGTTCTGTAGGGGGTTTTGTGGGAAGTGTAGGAGCTTGTGTAGGGAATGTAGGTGGTGCCACAGGAGGTGAAGTTGGCGGAGGGGTTGGTGAAATTCTGGGAAGACTTGCAGGTGGAGAATCAGTCCTGGTCCTAAAGGAAGGAGACGCGGAAGGAACCCCACCAGGAATCGGACTCGGATAGGGCGGAAGGGTCGGAATCTCCACGGGTCTTATCGTCGGCTCCTGAGTCGGCGGAAGTCCCTTCAGTGGTCCTTCAGACGCCTTTCCCACGGGAGTCGGTGTGGTAGTCGACCCCCTGCCGTCGCTGGCCCACACGATGAACACTACATCCAGGTGAGGCGCCAGGTAGGACGGCGGCAGCAGGCTGTCCCTCAGCTGACGGAGGTACTGGGTGGCCTCTTCCCGACCCCGCAGGACGTGGCCGTCCCCCAGCACGGTGGCCAGGTACTGGTCGTGGCCGGTGTACCGGAGGACCGGGGTGATGGCCTGACCCGCCAGCCACCGGTACTCGGTGGAAGGCAGCCACAGGGGCAGCACCTCATCACCGTCTGGAAGCAGGAGAGGCGAACGAGCTCAACAGCTGTAGGGAGCAGTGACGAGCAATAATAGATTCAGATTCAGATTTTATTCAACGCAGTACTCGACATGGTGCGGGCCTTTCACTGCGTTTCGTCAACTGTTAAAAGGTAAAGGTAAGTTACACAAACATACAATCACACATCTCAAGTAAAAGAAGTAGGATCACGTGACGTCATCCAAGAGCAGGTAGACCTTCACATCGGCCTTAAAACCAGCAGCGGAAGGTTCAATGCTAATAGCACAGTGTATTGTACAGTCAGTCTTAAAAGTATCGACCATCGGTGCGGTGGATCCATCAAGCCCGATCGAGGGAGGGCTACTAAATTTAGGTCACTGAAGCAGTTGATATCCTTATCCAATATCCATCCACCAGGTGAATTTGTTCCGTGGCTCTGAAATTTGGCAGTCCTACCCCAATCGGGCTTGTTGAATCCACAGTACCGATGCGCGGTGCTTACAAGACTGACTGTACTCACATACATTGTACATAGATGTCGCGCTCCCCGACTGCATAGAACATCACTCACTTCGAATTTTAACCGGAAGAGACCCTCGAGGAACCTGTGGCTCGATGTAGTAGGACTTGTGATGAACCTTGGGGTTGCTGAAGTAGAAATCATCCTCGATGTCAATAACAGAGAAGACGCTTCCTGTAACAAAACAGCGGTGAACAGAGGTCAGCCTCACGTTCTCCACCAAACGAAGTTACGTTTTTCAGTGGTGCTTCAACAACTTCAAGGTAAGCACAGCAGAAGCCGTTTCGACGTTATGGTCTGCTTATGTACAAGGTCTCGTGTCAGAGGGCATGCAAGGTTGGTAAGAGGGTGAAGAATGAAGAAGGGCCCTGGATAAAGTACCCAATCCTTATAAGTTTGCAGACATTTCAAGGTGGCTTTCAAGGATATTGACGTCACATGCAGGATGACGATTGAATTTCGCTTGATTTCGAGACCCGAATGGTGTATTTTGCGGGCCTGCTGCTTACGAGACACGCAGACACACAAGGAAGACGTACACAAGCTTTCATCCTCACAAAAACTTTCAATTACGAACTGCTCTCGGGACCAGCCGTTGTCACTGCAAATGCACTTACACTCGCCACAAACTCAGTGTGTAAGTCCCCAATAAACACTTGGAAAACTGGAGACTTAGCCCCTTAACATACCAGCAGCCAGAGGCAGAAGAGCAGTCACCAACCCCAGAGCCAGGAGACCGACTGAGGACGGCAGCTTCATCCCGCTCCCCATGGCGCAGCTGGTTGGATCAGACCCGCCTCCTGAGGTCTCACAGGATCCGCTGAGCTCCCGCCGACCTCTGAGCAGCTCGGCCGGCACTCGCTTCCACCACGGCGCCGGAGGCCGGAAGCAGACTGAGTGACACCGTTACCCTGCAGTCCGATGGTATGGTCGGCCAGGCTACTTCTTGGTTCAGCTCCCATGTCGACCGACAGACCCCTTTGACACACGCAAATGTCAGGGTCGTCGTCGAGGTCGGGTTGGAGAGAAAGCCATGCGTTGGCGCCCGTGTAGGCGTGCTAGTCACGTGGCAAACGGATGGTGGTCACGTGGTTTTGGGCGTTCAGTTGTGCAACGTTTCGGCATTTAGTCTCGTTCCTCTTTGACATCTAGTCACGTCGCTAGCAGGTGCATGGTCACGTGCTAGATAGGCATCCCGTTGTCGACCCACGGGACCACTAGGTCATGCTCCTTGCGGCCATATAGGGGTCATGGGGTCATATTTCCTGAATCCTTCGATCGTGCATGTAGCAAGCTCTTAGCTCGTGCAAGCTCTTAGATCCAGCGATGGTAACAATTGATAATTGAGATTCGATGTAATTTCGATGAATGCACCTAGTGCATGTTCAAGTACGGATATTCTACATAATATCGTGCTATGAATACTGACTTTGTGTTGTGTTCACCGATAATTGTATTATTTCTTTGGTCGAAATTCAGCACATAAAGCCTTTTTCGGTACTTTTTTTACACTTCACCGTGGGCAATAGGCATTCTTCACATAAAAAACTCTGCGAAGTCTCATGTATTGTTTATTGTTCACATCAGTCTGTGGGGGTTGGTACCAAAATGTTCGAATCCGCGAGATAAAAGGCAACGCTTACCGTACCGTTGTATTTCGTTGCTCATATCTAGCTTTGGTTCTCTGCGATAATATTTCACAATACTTTTTGTCATGATTAGCTCTTTGTTAACAATACATACCTATGATATGTCCCTCAGTCCCTGTATGGTGAACACACAGGCACCCTGTTTTGAAAAAAAAGTTTTATTTGTCATTTTAACGACCACTTTGCATTGCCTTTCATTACATAGTTTTGGTATGAGTAGCAAGCACAACACATCATGCTAACATTGTTTTATATTATTCATGATGTGTGTGCGTGTGTGTGGTTATTTTTTTATATTTTTTGTGGTTATCATCATAAGTGTCGAGGCGTGTCTGAAACAAATACAAAATCAGTTTGCGTTTGCACTCTTCCCTTTTCGTCGAATGCTAGCGAATTTGGATGTAAAAGACTGTATTTAAGCTTTCTAGCACAATTTTTCTTGTAAGAAACCTTCGCATAATTCCGCCACATCATAATCCTGAAGTACAAAGTACGTTTTTTTCTGTTCGACAACCGTGCAACCACAACCTTTATAAGCTAAGGCTGCGCCGAATGTGGCACTGGTCGACAAGAAGTCTAGCATTTAGAAGCCTCTACACCACTCCCCATCTACAGCCCACGCTATCATTTTTCGTCTTGCCCCGCCTCCGCGTAACGTTTTCCCAATGGAACGTATCCACAAAGCAGCACGTCCAGGCGACAGGTCCTAGGACAGGTCCTTGCAGAAGTGGCCTACGACCGGGTCTGCTCCGTCGAATTGCTGGACGTGCTGGTCGTGGTGCGGGTCGTGCTCTGCGACGTTCCTGACGAAGTGGTCGTCACCGCTCCTGGGTCCTTACTGATGGCCGCGATGAGGTCATCGACGTTCAGCGTGGGGTTGTTCAGCGCGGTTAGGATAGGGGACGGGGTGGTGGTGGAGGGTTTCGGGGTTGGGGACGCCGTGGGAGAGGTTGGAGGGGGTTTAGTAGGGGGAGCGGTGGGTGGCAGGGTGGGTGGTTCGGTGGGAGGAAGTGTGGGGGAAGCGGTTGGAGGAAGTATCACTGGAGGTTCTGTCGGAGGCTTAGTTGGAGGTTCGGTGGGAGGTTTTGTTGGAGGTTCGGTGGGAGGTACTGTTGGAGGTATTGTTGGAGGTTCTGTTGGAGGCCCGGTTGGAGGTTCTGTAGGAGGCTCTGTAGGAGGTTTAGTAGGAGGTTCTGTAGGAGGTCGTGTAGGAGGCTCAGTAGGAGGTTTAGTAGGAGGCTCCGTTGGAGGTGCTGTTGGAGGTTCGGTGGGAGGTATTGTTGGAGGTTCGGTTGGAGACATTGTTGGAGGTTCTGTAGGAGGTCGCGTTGGAGGCTCGACAGGAGGTTTAGTAGGAGGCTCGGTTGGAGGTGCTGTTGGAGGTTCGGTTGGAGGTCTTGTAGGTGGTTCGGTAGGAGGTTTAGTTGGAGGTTCGGTTGGAGGTATTATTGGAGGTTTAGTTGGAGGTCTCGTAGGTGGTTCGGTAGGAGGTTTAGTTGGAGGTTCGGTTGGAGGTATTGTTGGAGGTTCGGTTGGAGGCATTGTAGGTGTTTCGGTAGGTTTAGTCGGAGGCTCAGTCGGAGGCACAATCGGACGTTTAGTTGGAGTCATTGTTGGAGGTTCGGTAGGAATTCTAGCTGGCTTGGTGGGATGCATTGCTGGTGGCAGTGTCGGTGGTTCGATAGGAGGTTTTGTTGGAGCATCAGTTGATGGTGTCTTGAAAGGTTTTATAGTTTCCAGAAACGGTAGTTCATCCGCTGGTTCAGTGGCCGATTTGGTATAATTCACCGGTTCTGAGGGCGCTCCTCCAGGAGACTTCGTACGCAGTATGGTTGGAAAGGCCCTCTTCGGAGACCCCGAGATGAATTGCTTTCCCCGCCTGTGTTTCACAAACCTCGTATCCCACACAACAAACACTGAGCTGAGGAGCGGCACAAGGAACGACGGCTTCACCAGTCTCTCCATGATGTTCCTCAGGTAGCGCCTGGCCTGGGAGGCGTCGGGCAGCAGGAGGGGCTCGTCATCTCCCAGGGTGGCCAGGTACCGGCCGGAGCCCGCGTACTTGAGTACCGGGGTAACGGCCCGGCCAAACGTCCATCGGTACAAGGAGGACGTCAGCTGCACTGTCCTCGTGCTGGTGCGGTTCGCTGAAATACGGGACAACAAAACAGTGTTATAAAGGGAGGGGAAGGGTGATCGTGTCGTTTGTTAAACGAAGAAGCATCCGTAGTTGCAGCCTACAGGTGACTAATTGAAGAGAGCTGTAGTCCGATAACTAAAGATAACAGACGTTAAGTGGAAATGTTATTAAAGAATCGCCTCGAGAAAAAAGCAATCATGGAGTTTCGATTGCATTGAATGCTACTGATGACTGAGCATTATTAGCGTGGAAAAATTTAAGTTCATTTATAAGAAGACTGTTATTATACTTATGAAGGGGAACCGGGGCAAAGTGGACACCCTAACGCTGTTTTTCTATGCCGACGGTTTATTTCTAAACTTGGAATGATTCTTACTATGACAACAAGATCCCTATTACATTGCCTTCCGTTTCAATTTCGTTTTATTTCTATGGGCGTTCACATATATGTAGGAGATATTGTCAAAACTTTAAACCTATGCATTGTTTTTACTTTGCCCATTGCCCAACCACGGGGCACGGGGCAGAGCGGAGACTGCCAGCTTCTTGGCCCAGATATGAGACCCAGGATAGTTGCCTTATGCACGACTAGGGTTTTTTATAGTAAGGAGGTTTAAACGAGGAAGGAAAGGATGTTTTCCAGCTTCCAAATGAAAATAAACACTTGGACCTGGAGGCTGTCCACTCTGCCCCGGCCACTTTGCCCGCATATATCGTCCGAGACAAAACTCATCCAGCTCAGTTATTAGTGGGGTCAAACGCATCAAAATTGACAGAGATGTACTGTTACCACGCAATGCATGAATGGCGACGCCTAAATAAATTTCAACTCGGCTATGGAATAAAATAAAATTTAAAGGCGTAAGAAGAATTAAGGCCTGGCTACACTATGCGTTTTCTGCGTGCCTTTTTTGCGTTTTTGCGTGTTTTGCGTAATATCGTCCGATAAAACAAGTTATAAATGATAAGACTTTTACACTAGTCATATATAAAAGTTAATATAAATCTTATGTTATCTAAAATTTAATATAAAAACATATCAAAAAAACGTTATATCATTTTTTCTATGTAGAACGATATTACGCAAAACCGGCAAGCCAGCAAAAAAAAAACGCACGCAAAGAACGCATAGAGTAGCAAGGCATTTACTAACCTGGGAAAAAATGTCTTTCCGTGTGTCAAGGAACAATGGCGACGGGCCGGAAACTCCGGTGTAGCTCATTCAAACGACCGCGAAAAAAAAAAACTATAATTGGCAACCGTAAACCATGGAGTTGACGCCAGTTGTGAAGGGCTAAAACGCAGGGTGTCCACTCTGTCCCGGGTATCCGTTTTGTTCCGGTCTCCCTACCCGACTTCGAAGTTAGGCAGTTCTCACGTGCCCACGTTCATGGATATTTCCCTTTGTTTGTCTGTTATTTGCCAAAACCGTCAATACATGTATGTGAATCGCATACTTGATGTTCAATGGAGGAAATGACAGCTATGTATCAAATTAACTGGTTAGTGACTTATTTATACCACATGGTCAGAAAGAAAAAAATGCAAGGCTAAATGCAGTCAATGGCCTTCGTTGGAAATGAGCATGAGCGGAAAATTGGTTGACGGTTAAAAACCATGTCAACACAATTTTTGATTATGTAACAATTATGTTTGCATTTGTTTGCATTTGCAAATATCTTTATACATAGAGTATGATTCATTAACTGTTAAAATGGATCTATCGCATGGCTGTGAACTCAAGTTTATCACTCAAATATTATATGTAGTATCATTCAAACTCAAGGTGCAAGGTATTGAATATTCAATGACTTGTACCTAGTTCGTATTCGTTTCGGGCTACACTGAGGTAAAAGAATTGTTAAAAACGAAATATTTCGGCTTTATTGTGTAGCCTTGCTCACTGTTTTGAAACATGATCATATTTCAAACCACAGTTACAAACTTAGCCTTCTTCCTTGTTCAGTAGCCTTGTTCACTGTTTTGAAATATGATCATATTTCAAACCACTAACCAGTGAACAAGGCTACTCAATAAAGCCGAAATTTGGATTTTAAACAATTATTTACCTCAGTGTAGCCCGAAACGAATACGAATTACTATCATTTACCTGAGGAAGATTAGAAATGACACTTCGTCAATACCTGAATCAATAACTTACCCCATAGCCTAACTTGTAGAGGCGTGTACGGGACTTGGGCTTTCAAAAAATAGTATTCCTCTCTGTAGACGTTATAATGCCGCTTTCCTGCCAATGAAATAAGATGAAACAGGTCAATCAAAGTGTATCTGTCGAGTTTCAATCAACGGCAGCTAGCAAAGCCAATTTTAAGTTTGTAACTGATCTCCGACGCAGTTCTCATGGTGTTTTCGGAAAACATGGCAACTTATCTATCCCAGTGGGCCGCATTTTAATCCTATATAGTGTCCACAGGCCAACTTACCAGGTAACAAAAACTGGCACATGGGCAATGTCACTTAGATACAAGTTAATGCAACCATCCAGCACCGAAAATGGAGTTTAAGCATTTGTTTTTGAACTCTCAGGATGCACTTAGGCCACCAATTTTTTTTTTACGCACATTCCGGTCTTGGACTCTTGACATCTGTTCATATGCTATTGCGATGTAATGTTTCTCTCTAATCGATTCCCCAAACAGCTGCTGAAACACTGCCGATATCCGGTCTATTTCGTGGCGTTACTCCATATCTCTATTTAAATTAATCCCTGTCTAGCCCATGTTGCATCCATTTTTGCTGCGCGTGTTGTATACCCCCCCCCCCCGTTCCCTGGTCTCCAACATCCCTTACCTGCAATAGCTGAGCATGCCACCAGCAAGCAGATCAGAGCTCCATAGCGTCCCAGCCTGCTGATTTCTTTCATGGCCGCTAATAACACCTTTCCGAGCCTCGAGCACTCTATGAAAGCTCAAGGTCCGATCCGAGAGACAATTAGGTTCTTGTTTGGTTCCGTAAGGCAGTTTTGGACCAGTTAGATCTAACTTTACACCGACCAAGGCCTGATAAATGTTTTTAGAAATCACTGCCCAACACTTTCTTGTCTTGTCTACGAGGTCTCCAAGATCACTGCAATCAGTATAAAAGGTTCAGACTGTTTTCCGAGCCGGTACCCGCGACCTGGGTCCGTTCTGTGTCTGTCACTGCACCCAGCCGTGGCTCGGTGGTCCGCGTGGCCCAAACATACGGGCACCGACCGACCGACTGAGACCTGGCGCTAACTTTCCCAGTACAGGGGACTCGGACTGTGACATACACAGAAAGATCACAGGCGTCAGGCGAGGTCATTTGGCCGGCGAAATGTGTCAACGGACAGATAGACCAATGAACCCGAAAGGAACGAGTCATCGATGTAAAAGACGATGAACTCGTAGACCAGAGTTTTTTTCAAATGTAAAAGTGAGGGAATTGTGTCAAATTTATTTGAATATATTTTGCCCATATTCTTTATAAGCAAAAACAAAAAATATGGTGAGGATAATACATAACCTACATTTTATATTTTCAATCGTATCCTTAGTACGCCTCTTCACAGAGGCCTCAATACATTGTCGATCACATTTACAGGACGTGTGAGCGCCAATGCCGTGAGCGCCAATGCCGCGCCGTGGGGGGGGGGGAAATGGGGGAGTGGAGGGGGTAACGATTGCAGCGAGTCTGACGCACGCGCTCGGAGTGAGTGTCAGAAAGACGAGACCGTCCCTGCCAACCATAGATACAGGGGTGTCGTTTTCCGAAAATGATTGGTAGGGCCCAAAGGCGGCGGCCGACCACATGTGGCGGGGCTTAAAAGGTAGGGTACCCCCAAATCTGCCTTTCTCATCGGATTTCGGCCACTTATTTTTTCGCCCTGGTCATTGACAAGACAAACCAAAATCTAAAAAAAAAAATGGAAGTCTAGGTCCTCAACGAGCTCCATGCACAAAACGTGCAGTTAAATAGGCAGTTATAATAGTGTCGGAGGAATGCACGCCATTCTGAAAGAGGCCCACGCCGACTTAAAAGCACGGCTGTGCTGAAACGGGCCAGGGACGGCTTTGATGGCCCAAGCCGAATGAAAAAGACGGCTACGGGGCCAGGGACGGCTTTGAAGGCCCACGCCAATCGCAGGGTTCGACAACTAACGAGGTCTCGAAACACCACGATAGTTAGAAAGACCTGCTTGCCAAAATAAAAGGATGACGGTACAAGCCGGCATTCAGAAAGTTACATGCCCGACCATGAAGAAGCAGAGAGATACGTCATCGACTTATTAGACAAAAAAGTTCATTTATTCAAATAACCACCGCTAAGACAAACACATTTCGCGCAGCGCTTCGGCCTTCGGGAGAGCCCTCAAAGTCTCCATAATCAATTGGGTTTTGGACCCATCCCACGTCCAAGACGGCTGCTTTAGTCTCCCTGCAGTCAGCGAAGCTGCCACTGCTAATTTCCTTATGTTGGGGAAGAGGTGGCAACCAGAGGGTGCAGGGTTCGGAAAAAAGTGGATGCGACAACAACTCGAAGCCACATTTCATCACTTAACTTATCGTCACCCCGCGCAAGTACGCAGGTGCGTGGCCGTGGATCAGTTGCACACTTTATGTCAGCTTCCCTATAGCCTCTCCTCGATGTCTATCGAATGGACGCACATCATCAATTGTGCGCCCCTGTTTTAGAAAGTTGACAAGCAGAGCCCCGTCGGCATACCAAAATGTAACCACTATCACTTTGCCGACTAACTTCAACTCGTACCACTCATTTGGTGGCCGTTACTCGGTGTGCACTGTGCTTCCACTTGCGCAACTCGGCACGGTGTCCCTTAGTGTCAACGTGTGACGCCCACAATTCCTTTACGGTGACAAGTCAATGATATCTTCTAGATATTCGATAAGGGGCCAAACACCCCGCTAAGCCTCCTTTCGAGCTTGCCTTTTCTGTGCAGTGTCAGCAAACGGGGGATACATCTTGCAGAGATCTTAAACATAGCATGATAGATTCCAGTGGCGTAGCCAAGTGGGGGGGGGGGGGGCACAGGGGGCGCGTGCCCCTCCCATCGGGTCCAGGGGGCCCTTCGGGTCCCTGCGGCGCCAATCGGCCGCTGAGGGTCCACGCTGGCCATATTTCGTCTCAAAGGGACCCCACAGGGCTCGTCAGAGCATCTCATGGGCCCCTAAGTGGCGTATTAAGATCTTCGTAAGTGCCCCACGCCGGCTTCTTAGAGCCCTTGTCACCAGTTAAGGCCCCAAGAGGCCGCCAAGGGCCCCTTACCAGCCTGCCCCTCACGGTCTCTGAGAATCTCTTGCTGGCCTCTGAGGGCCCATTGGTGGCCTTGGCTCTGAGGGCGCATTGGTGGCCTCGGCTCTGAGGGCCTATTGGTGGCCTCTGAGGGCCCTTACCGGCCTATTAGGAGCCGGCTCTACGAGCTGCATGCCCGCCTGTGATGGTCCAACACCAATTCTCTTAGGGCCCCAATAACTGTGAGGAGTGCCTCTGATAGCCCACACCGGCGTTTCTGAGAGCCCACGCCGGCGTTTCTGAGGCCCCTTCTCCCCCAGTTCTGAGGGTCTTCATCAGAGGCTCGTAAGGCCCTACACCAGCGACTCTGACGGCTCCACTGAGTCCACACTGGTGACTCTGAGGGTCCCAGTGGCGTCTGAGAATACTATTCCGGTCTAAAGGGACCCCTCGGCGCTCCTGAAGGCACCACCGACCTCTGAGGTCCCCTTGTCGTCCTATGAAGGGCCCGCACCAGCACTTAGCTCAGCAGCTCTAAGGGTCCCACGCATATCTGTGATGGCCATAAACCAGTGTATCTGAGGACTGAGGGCCCCGAAACGGCGCTTAAGCGGCCCTCACCGGCGACTGTGCAGGTCCCACTCCGGCGCCTCTGAAAGCCCCACACATATGCATCTGACGGACACCCACCAGTGACTTTTGCGTGGCCCACACCGGCAATTCTGAGGATCCCACCGGAGTCTGAGAGTACCGTGCCGTTCTCTAAGGACCCCACTGAACTTCTGAAGGTGCTGCCGGCCTCTGAAGACCCTTTGCCGGCCTGAGGAGTAAGGACACCTTGCCGTTCCCTAAGAATCCCCTGCCGGCTTGCGAAGGGTTCCCGACAGCAGCTCCTACGGCCCACAGGCCACACACATCTGTGACGAATGTACATATATGCTTATTTGCTTATCTGTTTATTTTGATTTTTTTACCAAGTGACAAAAGATTGGTAGAGCTCAGCGAACACTGGTAGGGCCCAAATAAACATTGGTAGGGCTCGGGCCCTACCAGGCCTATACAAAACGACGCCCCTGCATAGATATAAAGACCTGCCAACTGTCACTGAGCCGAGACCGCCTCGGCGGCGGCGCTAGCAGCGCGATATAACGCTCCACACTCCACAGGTGTCGCCAGCTTCTCGTCCAACGCCCGCTGAGGACTGAACGTTTTGAGGACTTATCGCTCAAGCAAGCAGGCCAAAACTGCGTAAGCGAATGGTCGTGCGCCAAGGCACGTAAGCACGATATAGCCCGTGAAGACAAAAGTTCGTACCACAAAAAAAAAAACGGAACAAAACCTAGCTTCAAGTAGCCTTACCCAACCTAAAAAGCTAACCAAATCAAACCCAAACTAGCATAGCCTAGCATAGCCTGTAACCTATCATTTTGTCTCAATTGTTTCATGCTCTACGAATATTTGCGGTGCACATTTTTGTCCTATGCGCATTTCCTGGCGTACATTTGTCATACGAGCTTTTGTGATCCAAAGTTTTGCTAGCAACTGTCCGCCCTGAGAACAGGGATGTTTATTGTTTACCCCTCCGAGAAATGCTGATAGCTCCTACCGATATCGCCATAAAACTGTTTACATGCGATCTTGCATCGAATCCACTTGGTATAGAATTATCATATTCTCGACTGAACCAATCGACTTCGACTTTAACCCGCGCCCTGCTGGGGGGGGGTGTTTGAACACCCCCCCTTGTGGTTTTTCGCGAATATCTCAAAAACGGCGGCGCGGAGCGCCGCCGTTTTTGGTATACCTTATCATACATCAATTCTACACATGTTGTGAAAATTTCAGACCAAGGTCATTCAAGGTCAGGTCACCAGGTCACTTGAAGTGACCTCACCTCATAAAAAGTTTCAATGTCTGTCATAGCTACACCGAGTGACCGATCGCTTTGAAACTTTCAGCGATTGATAAGAGTAGCAGTATCTATAAAATATATATCTCGGAATTTTGATATCGGTGACCTAAGGTCAGGTCAATTTTGCGACCTCCCCATTATAAGTCAATGGGAGAAAATTGAAATGCGCCTCTTTTGGAAGAAAGACATTATAAACACTCCCAAACACTGAATTACAAGTGGTTTAGACACACTGAACATGAAAATGGTATCCGTGACCCTTGCTTATGCCCTGAGGTCATCTTAGGTCACGAATTGTATCTAACAGTTTTTCACAAATAACTTTTGATAGAGGCATGCTAGAGCGATGAAAACGCCTTAGATGTGTTCAGCTCGACGATACGGATCGACTGATATGCAACATGACCCTTTCCGGTCAGGTCATGACCTTGACCTGAGGTCAAATTTTCAAGTTGACCTTTCAAGGTCAAGTTATAGTTCATTCGATGCGTCTTGACGAGAGGAACACGATGCCGGTAAAAGTAAGCTCGTACAAGGCTTGGGTCAAAAGTTATTGCCGAAAAACTGTTTCCGAAAAAATCGGCTATTTTTGCAGTTTTTTCCCCCTGCAGGCAAAACCGTTGACGTTAGGTCAAATCTGAGAGAATTACTCAGAAAGGGCGTTAATAGGGCTATCGAATGCGCTTTTCCGCGGCGCTGTAGCTCTATTGGTTCCCGAGTTATGCGTTGGCTTCTTGGAAATTTTCGATATTCGACCTGGAAATCGGCGAAATTTTGCCTTCAATGACCTCTGGTGACCTGACCTTTGACCTGACCAAAAAATTGACCGAAGTGATTTCGTCATTATTTTTGACGCTCTTTCGAACGCCGCCTTCCGCGTATCGCTACGTGGCCCAGGAGCCGAGTTACAAGGGGGGGTGTTCAAACACCCCCCCCCCCCAGCAGGGCGTGGAAATCCAGGACCCCCAGCCGGGCGCGGGTTAACTGGGCCTGAACCATTAGACTGGATATATTTTCGAACGAATCTGATCGACAGATAATTATAACCGATGACCTTTTCTACATAGTCAGGTCACAGTCCGAGCCTGAGTTCAAATTTCAAACCTCACCTGCTCGGGGGGGGGGGCACCCCCAGGCAGATCTTTTGCGCTGTGATTTAGCATCATTAGAGCTAGAGGTCTGATTTTTTGTATGGCTGTTTTTTATCTTTTGCTACGTCCACTGAAAATTTCAAGTTTCCCAGTGGTCTTTGGTTTCGGAGACTTAGTACGGGTCATATCATGACCAAAATGACCCATTCACAATATCCTGCGTCAGCTATGGGTTTTGTGAACTTTTGGTACCTTGATTTGGGATTTTTGTCACTTCTAACTCCCACCTATCATGGAATATGTTACACGCACACACCAATTGCTTGTACTTACACCTTACGTTGATTTTACCGGCGTCGCGTTTCTCTCGTTGAGACGCGTCGAATGAACTGAAAAGGTTGAAAAAGTTGAAAGAAGAAGTTGACCTGAAAAAGTCAGCTTCAAAATTTGACGTGGGGTCAAGCCTCCGTCAAGGTCACAGAAAAGGTTATGTTGGTTACTGATTTCCTCGTGTAAAGGGTACCCCGAGCTTCAAGAAGATAATCCGTAGGAACGACAGCCTCACAAACTCACGATGCGAAATTGATGTGACAGTAGGTATGCATTTCTTTCCTTGGCTCACTTCTCTCCAAGGACGTTCTAGCTCACTTCTCTTACTCTCGATGGACGGTAAAGACGAGCGTTAGAAATGAGAGACAAGGTTATTATGATGCCGCTATAGACATTATCGTTTGTCAGATATTGTAAGTTTTACAACAACAAAAAAAATCACAAAATTTGGCATTAACTGCCCCTGGAGAGATCATTTTCTTTTTAAGCGGAATGAATGATCAACGTTTAAAGTTGCACCTTTATAAACGGATGCACCTATCCTGCGCGTTAGACTGCGTGTTACAATGCATGCAGCATCGGCGCTAAGAAGATTACCCACACATTGCATCATCGCACAACGCCGGGCCGCGCTGAATATGTGATGCGTATTGCCCATCCGATTATAGCGCCGCGGCGTTTACGAACGCTGGGGGAGCGCCGCACCACCAGCCAACTGTGATTGTAAAACCGAGAGGCGGGGGAGGGTGCATTAGCATCTGTTGACATTGACCTTGGTCGGGGTCGGGCCGTCTCGCCGGGATGCGCCGCGTTTTTAGGTAATTCTTCATCCGCAGGCGGTCGCGGTGGGAGGGGGGAGGTGAATCTTGGTGAAGAGTTGGGTAAAACAAGGCGGCGCTGTGACTTGTGTGATGTGTGGGTTGGGTGTTCTGATTTGGTCAGAACTGAAAATGGGTGGGGCTCGAAACTTTAGGTAATTGGGTGGAGCGTAGAGTAGAGACATCCATAAAGCCCCAGCCATCCAGCTATAAAATGCAAGCACATTGGTCGGAAGAGAGAGAGAGAGAGAGAGAGAGAGAGAGAGAGAGAGAGAGAGAGAGGGAGAGAGAGAGAGGGAGATAGAGAGAGACAGACAGACAGAGAAAAGAGAGAGAGAGAAGAGAGAGAGGGAGAGAGAGAGAGAGAGAGAGAGAGAGAGAGAGAGAGAGAGAGAGAGAGAGAGAGAGAGAGAGAGAGAGAGAGAGAGAGAGAGAGAGAGGACGGCAGTGGATGGGACAGATATTTGCTGGTCAGTCCACACACCGGATGCACCATGTCCGGAGTGACGACAGCGGACACTCGGAAGAGGACAGATTAGGAATGGACGCGGCTGCTCTGTACTTTCCAACAGAACGGAAGTACGAAATGGAGAGGGGACGCGACTAGCTTTTAAACTGTGCCGTCTTCAGGCAGCGCGTCGTTGTAAGTAAGGCTGAAAATCATGTGTGTATTTACCTGGTAACTGGTCGCTTCGCGTTTCTGACTTAATAGTGCGCCTGCCTTGCCGTTACTTGCAGAACTACACACGTGCCTTTCACACTGTGCAGTAAACACTCGGCCATCAATTCAGCCGGACACTAGCACAGTCAGACAACACTCCAGCATACAGCCCCACCTCACGTCTTCACCGCTTCAGAGAGGGTGCGTCCAGAGAGGGCGCGCCGAGGTCACGGTCTTTACGCCCCCCCCCGCCCCCCTCCCCCGGCAGACTGAGTCACAGCCGAGTCCGAGTCCGAGTCAGTGCGGGTCGCAGTGGCCAGGCGGCGGCCGACGAGGCAGCAGTGGACGAGAGTGGTGGTGGACTAAGCAGTCGGTCGAGAATCTTGTGAGGGCTGTGAGGGAAGGAAGAAGATTGCAGACGGTGTTGAAGTGAATGTGTGAGGTGTGGGGTGAAGGTATACAGTGAAACTGGCGCTCGAAGGTGTGGTGCACCGCAAGGTTACAGGGGTGGTGGTGTGGGTGACTGGTGAGTGGCAACTCACGTGGCTAGTGGACAGGTGAATTAGTAGACAGTGCCAGCACAGCAGTGAGTCGGAGTGCCACGGGTAGGCCGAGTGCCCGGAGGTGGAAACGGCGCTCGACTGCGAATAGTGTCTCGCTCGGTGGTAGACCGGGGCTCGGTGCCGAACAGAGTGCATCGAGGCGAACAGTTGCAGTGCAGTCAAGTGCAGTGAAGGGCAGTGCTGTGCAGTGCAGTGTGGTGGACCCTGCACACTCGAGTCTGTGTCTGGGAGTGCCAGGCACGGAGCAGTCGAGCCTGTGGGGAGTGCCCGGCGCCCGCAGCACTCTACCCCACTGAGGAGTGTCGCCCTGAGCACTCTAGCACCGTGTGAGGAGTGCCGCGCCCCGGTTCACCAGTAGAGGACCACCTCCGTCTCAGGATGTGGTCTTACCGGCGCTGGGTGCGGTTCAGTGCCGTCCTGGCCCCTCCCCCACTGGTGATGGAGCTGATGCTCCTGGTCCTGGTGATGGTGCCGGGTGGCTCCACGGAGCAGTGGTACCAGCCCAGTTCCAGTGTGTGCCTGTTCAGCCCGGTGGACTCGGCAGTACCCACCTCTGTCCGCTGCCATCTGAACGGCAACTCGGTGAGCTCCGAAATGTGAATCACAAGTGCGAAATCGCGATTAACTTTTTCAATGATGGAAACCAGAACGCCATTTGCCCTGTGCAATGCGTACAGCTAAGATTTAACAGTCATAATAAGATAGTTTTACAAACCGTAATGATAAACCTGGTAATACCTAAAGAAGAATAAGATAAAAGATAAAACTGTTCAATCACATCTCGTTTTGCCGCTTTTCCACATCATATCTTGCCTTTGGCTCTTGATTCAAATTGGTTTCAAATAGGAGTTCTTGAATAGCGTGTGTATAAAAAGTTAATTGTCATTAACCGATGCAAACAGGCTGCGTGCGTTTCGTGTAGGATGCCCTCCCACCCTAATTTACCTACAACGTTTTCTTTTTGTTTTCCAGATCACCATCAAACGCGTCGACCTGGCGCCATCGATCCAGGAGATATACGTCACGGATGCCAACATCATCGACGTCAACGACGGCGCCCTAGCACACCTGGATGACCTGAAAACCGCCGAGTTCTCCCACTCGGAACGGCTCCTGCTGCGCTCCGACAGCCTCGCTGCTTCTGCTAACTCGTCTGCAGGTGGCAGCACCTCCGTGACGGTAGATGGCGTTAGAGATGTTACCCTGTTCTCTGAGGCCTTCTCCGGTCGCCGACTAGGCTCGATCAGTGTGACAGTCAACGGCGCACAGACGTGTTCAGTAGCCGGAGAGGCCTTTCCGGGCGGCTCCAGCGCTAATCAGGTTCTTCTAAGTAACATTTCAAACCTCAGCATGGACCGGAGCTCGTTCGCTGGAGCGATAGAGGAGTTGCAGCTGAGAAACGTCTCTAGTTCGTACGCATGTCTGGCCGACACATTCTCAGGAGAGATAGGCCAGCTGACGCTGGACTCTGTGACCCTGAATCGGATCTCGCCGGGCTGTTTTCGCTCCAGCTACCCGTGGCAGAGTCTGGAGGTGAGGTCCAGTCGCCTGGGCGCAATCCCGCAGAGGGCCTTCACCGGACAGGTCGAGGAAGTTCGAATTGAAAACAGCCAGCTGGAGGACGTAGCGCCGGGAGGATTCGAGCTGAGAGTGAACAACTTCACCGTGGAGAACTGTACCGTCGATCGACTGGCTGGTCACGCGCTGCGGGTGCTGGCTGAGGACACTATCACTTTGTCCTCCTGTAATGTAAGTGTGTTGGAAGACGCTGCCTTATTGGGTCTCCGCGTCACCAACGACAGTGTCCAGCCAATCACCATACAACACCTAAATGTGACGGAGGCCGCTGATGGCTCGCTCCGCCTACACAACAGCGCGGGTACCATCCTCAGCCACATCCAACTCTCAGAGCAGTGTGTGTGCCCTGTGGCAGCCGAGCGCGCGGCTCGGCTCGCTCTCGGCGCACCTCCTCAAGTAAACGTCACCGGCGAGGCAGACGAGGGTCTCTGGTCGCTGCAGAACGTCACTGACACTCAGATGGAGGCCGTGCGGCAGACTGCGCTGGCGGCGCACTGCTGGGAGGGGGAGACGAACTCTACCTCGGCGATGCTGGCGGAGCTCGTGTGTCGAGGTTGTGTGGTCGGTGATGGGGCGGAGGACACCCCGCTCCTGCACTGTCCGGCGCCACTGCCGGCCGGCGGACGTCGCTGGATGCTCTGGCCGTTTGTTTTTATCGCCGTGCTGCTGGTGTTGGTGGCTGGATGTGGTCCCCTGCTGATGGTCAAACGATGTCGCCCTCCCGGCTCGGCCCCTTCACAGGAGAAGGGTGCGGTGATCAGTCACCCGGGGGGACTCGAGGCCGGTGACGCAGCAGGGGACTCTCCTCTGAAGGAGGTTCCCAGAGAACGTCACCTCTCCTGGAGAGTGGTCGGGGAGCTGGAGCCAGAGGAGGGCGTCGAACCGACCCTCCCGGTGGCCCTGCCCCCACCTCAGCCTCGTCATGTCTCCTGGAGAGTGATCGGGGAGCTCGAACCGGAGTATCCCCAGTACAGTAACGTAACCCCGGCCCACCCGAGGCACACAGTAGCCAGTACGGACAGTGTGCGCCCTCCGGGTTTGGGAACAGGACCCAGCTGGGAGTTGGACAGCACAGACCGGCTCCTCACCACCTCAGACTACGGAGATGTGTTCCAGTCGCTGCGCTCCATACCAGAGCCGGTGGAGGATCCTCAGACCGAGCTCTGCATCAACGTGACGAGTTCTCCGGACAGGGCAGTGTCTGGAGCAGAGGAGGAGCAGGATGTCTTTGCAGAGACGTCACCGACCGGCCGGCTGACTGAGACGGGTCGACGGACATTGCCGATTGTGAGAGATTCTGCTCAGGAGCCGAGTCCTGCCGGTGGAAAGTCGAGTGCTGCAGAGAGCTTTCATCATCTCAGTGTAGAAACAAGAGGAAACTGTCCTATCAATGGAGAGATGGGTACAGCGACAAACTGGCCCACTGCCAATGGGAAGACGAGCGATATGATCAGCCACAACCCTGTCACGGAAGCAGCCCACCTGAAGCCCAATGGTAGCTCAGAAAACGACACAACCTGTCCGCAGACTGGCATCAATTCGGAGAGCTCAAAGGTAAACCATGCGACAATCGAAGACCGGCGCTTCGCAGACGAACGAGCGGCCTCCCTGGGGAGCCCTCGACAGGACCTGGCTGAAGAGGAGCCCCTGTATGACGACGTTGAAATTGCGGCACAACCGACCGGTGCCTCAGCGAAACGGAGGTGCAGCGGAGAGCTCATTGATAACGTGCTATATGGCCGAGTTTTCTAAACTGTCCGAATGTGTACCGGTACTTTGCGTGTGATGAGAAAAGGAGTCGAAACGGCGTGTACAGTGCCTCTAATGTGCAGATATGTATTGGATATTTCAGTTTGCGGACTAAAGAACGCTTTAATGGATACAATGACAGTCCTTAGATTCTTATTTTCAGCTTCATATAGTTTCCAAAGCAATGTGTTAATTAAAGGCTTTCGACTTACAACAAACCACCGCGAACAACTATTTTCCTACGAAACATCCTACTTACTTGTGTAATGTGTAGATATCATGTCATTAGATAACATGCTTGTGAACTGTTTGTTCATATCATCGATGATTCAGTAGCTCTATCATCTTAGCTACTCATTGAATCTTTTCACTGTTTTACTAATTGACACGAGCTGGCGACTTGGCGTGCGTTAAAATGAAGTGATATCGTCATGGGGCTGAATGTATGAACCTCATGATGTTCGTAACTCACACTTGTCACGCAGGAATGACTGATGGTGCGGTTGTATTTCGTACATTCTCTGGGAAACGGATGAGTTTTGAGTTTTGACAGCCATCGTCGTTTGTTGTATCTCTAAGGCATGCATGCGTTTCATTATGCTGGTGGCATACGTACTAGACAAAAATAATATATGCCGCCATACCAGACCCATGTTAGAAATATGTATACAAGTTTTTTTTCAATACTACCTAATGCCTATGCCGTCTTACCTTCCTTTCAGTAATTCAATGTAATTTGAAATGATGCTGGTCAGTTACTCAATAAAAATGTGAGTCATTAAATAATGCCAGTCGCTGGCTTCTCTTCCATGCAAAAGTAATACGACTGCGATGGATGAGGATGTCCTGCAAAGCTACGCTACGTCACGACTCATGCTTTGCCTTTGTTGAGTTGCAATAAGAAACAGTGTGCTACTCTTGACAAGAAAATATCAACAGAATAGACGTGAAACATTGGCACCAGCTCAAAATTGTCATCTCAGATTAACTGTAGATCATGGTAGGTTCAGAGATAAGTTTAAAAAAAAGCTTACGCCGTGCTGAACTAAAGCATTTCATAGAATGCTCGCAAATGCTACAGATTAAGTTCCAGTGGGTAAGTGAATAAAATCATGATCAAGCGTTACCTTTTAGTGTTAAACATCCGTTTGTTTCTATGATAAATATTGAGCAAAAATTATTTTGACTGAAATGTACGACCAATTACACACACACCTTCCAGTTCCACCCCTCACGTCGAACTGTAGCCAATCTGTAATCCTAGTTACTGTATTCTTAAACAAACAAATGTACGCAGACAATTTATTCCATAATTCAAAGTCGAATCACGTCTTTTTCTGCCTGTTCTCAGTACCTACTGAAGGCACGGGTGACACGAAGATAAAAGTGATTGATTAGTAGATTAAAAGGACACCCATGTGCACTCGCCGACCCATCCTATCTCAAAACGTCGAACTGGGTCTCGTTTCATGAAGCGAGTCCGAAACTTACGCCGGTTTTTGGTCTTGTACTGCAAGTGCATGTGAATCGATGACGATAGTTTGAATCGTTGTATTTATTTATTTTGCAAGCAAGAACAGAATGGAAAAGGGGAAATGAATTAATCGCTTCACATGCGCTTCCAATATACAAGCGTAAGTTACGGACTCGCTTTATGAAACGAGGCCCTGGTCTCTAAAAGATGGCAGATTAGCCGTCTACCGAATGCTGTCTCGGTTGTAATAGCAACAGACAAGTGACATTGGTGCATCACTGACAAATCCCTTGTGCATTGTGCATACAATTAGGAATGTCGTTATTAAGTACACACAAGACATTGTTCATAAGAGTAGTGCTTTTCGGAGCCTCAAGAAGTAGTGGTAAGGTAGAGGTACACACCTCAGCGAGAATGCTCTACTTACTAAGATGGCCTTATTTGAGGGCCATTTCTAGGTAGGTATCACATGTAATCGGGAATACAGTGGCACTGTGCTAGACCCATATGTGTTTGCCCATTAGAACTTCTTGCTAAATGAATGCGTCTTTTTTAGTTTTAGAACGGTGATAAACTACGTCTATGTGTGGCGTGTGCATATTGCATGTACTGTGGTACTGTAAACCTAACTATTGCAGACTACCGTAAACTAAGGGGCTTATCCCTATTAGTGATGGGCTCCTGATTAAACGGAATCTGCATTTAGCCCTGAACCGTGGCATATCGCCCATAAAAATCATTATTGGCAAGGACTGTCATGTCAGCGGTGCGCACTCGGGCCAAGTAAAAGGGTTATCCGCCTTCCTCGCATCGTGTGTCGCTCTCAGGCGGAGTAGAACTGCAGCATGACAGCGCTGGTTAGAATGGTATCGCTCTCAGGCGGAGTAGAACTGCAGCATGACAGCGCTGGTTAGAATGGTGTCGCTCTCAGGCGGAGTAGAACTGCAGCATGACAGCGCTGGTTAGAATGGTGTCGCTCTCAGGCGGAGTAGAACTGCAGCATGACTGAGCACTGGTTAGAATGGTGTCGCTCTCAGGCGGAGTGGAACTGCAGCATCAGATGACGTTGTTGGTTAGGCGAAGTAGAACTGCAGCATCAGATGACGTTGTTGGTTAGGTGGAGTAGAACTGCAGCATGACAGCACTGGTTAGAATGGTGTCGCTCTCAGGCGGAGAAGAGCTGCAGAATGATGACGACGTTGGTTAGAATGGTGTCGCCTTCAGGTGAAGTAGAACTGCAGCATCAGATGACGTTGTTGGTTAGGCGAAGTAGAACTGCAGCATCAGATGACGTTGTTGGTTAGGCGAGGTAGAATTGCAGCATGATGACGGCATTGGTTAGAATGGTGTCGCTCTCAGGCGGAGTAGAACTGCAGCATGATGACGACGCTGGTTAAGATGGTGGCGCCTTCAGGCGAAGTAGAACTGCAGCATCAGATGACTGCGTTGGTTAGGCGAAGTAGAACTGCGACATGATGACGACGCTGGTTAAGATGGTGGCACCTTCAGGCGAAGTAGAACTGCAGCATCAGATGACGTTGTTGGTTAGGCGAAGTAGAACTGCAGCATGATGATGGTGTTGGTGAGGATGGTGGCTATCTCAGGCGAAGTAGAACTGCAGCATGATGATGGCGTTGGTGAGGATGGTGGAGCCGATGGAGAGCACGGTGGACCTGCGCAGCCGGAACAGGCCCAGTTCGCCGAGCGTGTCCAGGTCGCGGCCGACCGAGTCCCGGAGCAGGCCCAGCTGGCGGGAGAGCGGCGGCTGGCGCAGCTCGGCGGCCAGCAGCAGCTCGCGCGCCTCTCCGGCCGCCTCCAGACACCGCTGGATGGCCTCACTGGGCAGCACCATCGTCACCGAGGCCAGCATCAGGTACAGGGTGACCATCAGCGCCATGTCACCAAGCGTGCCCATCTTGAGGCTGCTGATCACCGTCAGGAGCATGGTGACGCAGGCGATGGTGCCGGACGCCATCACCAGCACCAGCTCGGCCGACATGACCTTGGTGAGGCGGGAGAAGGTGCGGGACAGCTCCCCGTGGAGCGATATGATGTCGCAGACGGAGGCCGGGTCCGGCTGGTAGCGGCATTCTACCATGGCAGTCAGCAGCGTGTTGATTTCCTGCAGGCCGCTCTCCACATACAGAGAGGCGAGTACGTATTTGAACGAAATGAGGCAAAATGACATTATCAGCCAACAGAATGTCATAAAAAATAATGGGTTAAAAATGCATTGCATGGATAGTGATGTACAAAACGTCGCTGACTGATAATACATAAGAGCAATGAGTGTTATTATAAATAATAAAACAACAGTGGCAAAAAGCCAGAGCGTGTTCCTCCTCAGTCGGTCAGACGATGCAGAGCTGCCGGACATCTTAGACAGTATATGAGCTGCGGTACGTATAGCTGTGAGGTGTATCCCGAACTGGCAGCGACTAAACAGAAAAGAACAAATCACTGCCATCCACATCAGGGCGTACATCAAACCGAAAAATCCGCTGATGGACAGAGCCACGATTATATGATGATCACCCTGTAACGCCCTCCTCCCCATATCAATGCCAATGCCAGTGATACAGCCTCCTCCAACGGAGCTGACCACGAACGCTAGGATGGTGTGGAGCAGCGCGGCCCGACCTGCGCCCGTGGCCAGCGCGGTGGCTCGCAGCAGGAGCAGCAGCGCGCGGGCGGCCGGTGGCGGAGCTGCCGTCGGCTCCCCGCGGGGCCCCTCCGTCCCGCCGGTCAGCCGCGGAGTATTGGGGTGAGGGGGACCGCGCAGACTGCGGTCGTCCTCAGGTCGGCAGGGAACCGCCACGTCCACCTTGGTCGTCATGGCGCAGATCAGATGGGACCGGCAGGAACCTGAGGGTGGAGCGTGTTATCCATCAGGCACTACAGGGGTAGGTGCTCTGAGAAACAACATACTTACATGGAGGCTTGTTGTTGAAATGTTTGTCTGAAAATGCGCAGCGAATGCATAAATAACGAAACCTTGTTTCCATCTTAGAACGAAATTTGATGGCTAAGAGATTATCGGAAACCACAATCCTACGACCAGGAATTGTAACGAAAACTGATCAGTGATCTGGCACAAATGACCAAAAAGGAAATGATTTGCTATGTTCCATTTGTGCCTATTGTACCTATATGATTTTATTTTTAGGCAAAATAACATGCGTAGCATTGAAGGAACGTTATGAGAAAATCAGCTAGTAACTAAGGTAGAAGATGCAAGCAACATCTTCAACAAATAAAACAAATATTTGTAATTATTTAAAACAATAAACATGAGGTGAAGTTTCCAGAGTAATTGGAAACGTGGCCAATTTGTCGGGTTTGACGATTTTAACTACACCACTATAGCTGACTTGATAGTGAATCCTTTTTTTACAAAAACAAAACCAAAACAAAATGAAAAGTTCAAAGTCTTCCTACTACCTCAATCCCTGACAAACCGACTGACCGACCGACCTGGACACGAGTGGCGCAGAGCTCACCGTCCTGTAGACACTGCACCGGGCCTGTGTCCTGTGGAGCAGCTCGGGCCGCCTCAACACAATGACCGCTGGCTATCGAACAGCAATTTGCCCTTCCGTCAGCAAATGACCATAGGTGTTTGAGAAAAAGCAGCGGCGACAAGTTCGATATATGTTCAATGGTGCATTATGTGCTATGCTATGGTCAAATATGCCATTTTGTCAAGACGGAGTCCTGTATAGGCAAGTCATGTCGACTGAGCAGTGCAAACTATGGGCGTCGCAGTTTTGCCATTGTGAGAGAGTCATTAGGTGTTTATATTTTAGCGCGGCTGGAAGCGACTGTTGACCTTCCGTCTCGCTCGGCTAGGCGGGCAAACTGCATGGAAAGGTCACTTGGTGGGTCATTAGGTATGTCCCAGTGCATGACTTGTCAATTGAGCCATTGGGTGGCCCGCTAAGGTCATAAGCGCAGGTGGAAGGATCAGGCGCTTAGCCGAGACACCCGACTGAACACTGTTATTCTAAAAACTCTCGTGTCTGGCAACATTCCAATCCAGTCATGATTTAACCCGTGCCCCGTTGGGGTCTGCCGAGCAACGCGCCCTGTTGGGGGAGGGCAATATGCTCCCCCCCCCCCCCCTAAGATCTCGAGAACCACGCAACATAGCGACAAGCAGCAAACAGTGTTGGATAGCCCCAACGGGGATCTACCTTGTGACCCAATTTTATTCACCTTAAGCCGATGACGTCACAGATCAGGTCAAATGTCGAATTTTCACAGTTTACAGGCATTTCAAGAAATGTGTTGTAAAATCAAGTAAAATGATGCCTACACTGAAAACAATTTAACCCAAGGCTGGCGAGTAAACCGGTGTTTTACGGGTACCCCTATCCGCAACCATTTTTAACCACCCTCCCAGGAGAAGTGCTAGGTCCCATTGCGGTGTAGTCGTACTTGCTCTGAGCGGATATAACCGCTGTCACCGAACAAGTCCGCTGAGAGCAAGGATGACTACACTGCAATGGGACCTTACTGTACTCCTGGGAGGGTGGTTAAAAATGGTTGCGGATAGGGGTACCCGCAAAACACCGGTTTACTCGCGGGCCTTGGGTTAAATTGTTTTCAGTGTATCATTGAAAATACTCGATGGCAATTGTTCGTCAAACACATATACCAGGTCACTAATACCACTAATACCAGGTCAGGTCACAGAGCTCAGGTCACTGAGGGTCATAATATGAAAATATCATGTGATGCATGTTTTATGGTCCATTTTACATGACAAATGCGATTATGTGGGTCAGGCAGCCTTTGGGGCCAGTTTAGATTATATTCTGGTGAAGGTCAGGTCAATGTCAGGTCAAATAAGGTCAAATTTCAAAGTTGATATTCTTGCATAAAATGGGTATTGGGTATCGAGTCGATGCAGCTCATCACGGGGAGTTCAATGGTGTTCTTTGCTTTGCGCTACGTGGTCTAGGATTGCTAAAAATTGAGTTCAAAAATTTAACATCATCAATTTTGAGCAGTTTTTCGCTATAACATTAGAGCGAAGGGACTATCACATATATTCCGGATTTTTCGAAATTCGAAAAAAAAATTGAGATTTTTTTGCGCTTTTCTATAAAAATCAACTTTTTCATATTGGAGGTCAAAATTCCAAAATTTTGAAAATCCGAGATAGCAGTTTGGTAGCGCCGTTTTTTTTTTCAACATGACCATGTACAGAACTTTGAAATTGCTTGGTAACTGTAGCTTTTGTGAGCGTTTCAAGATTTCATGTTTTTTTGCTCATTTTTGCTCAAACATGACCTCGGTTTTACCTCAATAACTTCTGATCTAAGGTAATATAAGACTTGAAATTTGGTGTGATGGGGTCAAATTAATGCCCGGGAAGGTACTAAGCGTTTTCTTACTATTCAGGAAAAACCACAGGGTGGGTCAAATTACCCCCCCCCCCCCCCAACAGGCGAGGGTTAACTGTATATACCCCGCTGGGCTTCTGGATTTCCATGCCCTGCTGTGGGAAGGGTTGGATGAAAACCCTTTTAAGAAAACCGTTCCTGTAGGTTATGTAGCGATAAGCAGCAGGCTGCATTCGAAAGATCGTTAAAAAACTTTTTCTTCTGGAAAAGTTTCCCATACACGTGCCGCCCCGGACACTGCGTACGCAGTCTCTGTTCGCTGTCTCGTTTGTAAACACTTTTCGCTCATGTTCATTCAACCGCATACCGAATGTGTGCAACGGGCATTCTTGGAGCCTGGAGGCGAACAGGGATGTGGACTTCTGGGAGAGTAGCTTGGCGGGGTTCAGGACAAGAATGAAACGGTATGTGAGTGAGAGGCAGAGATAGGTAGGTGTAACTGTTCGGTTGTTCTTGGAAACAAATGTTTCTATCCTGCTTTGTTTTTGCTCTGCTTGTTTAGTGTGTATCAATGTTGTATTTGCTGACTTCATCTGTCATTGGGTAACGCCCGTCGGTGATAAAGGTATAAAGGAAATGACATGAAATGAAAGCATGCTAAACTACTGTGGTCCTGGTTTAGGTTAGGTCCATGGTCAGGTCAGGTCCATGGCCCATTAGAGGTCATTGAAGGTAACATTTCGTTATTTTGACAGTTTTCGCCAAATTGCCACATAATTCGGAAATAAATAGAGCTGTCACCCACCCAGCCTTTCTTTTCTTCGGCGGCTGCCATACACATTACACACCGACTCGGGGCGGACGTGTCAGTAGAGAATGAGCTCGCCTGCGGGTCATCACTGTAATCTTGGCAGAGCAGCCCATGGACCGAGTACAGACTGCTTAGTGCCTATACTTAACCCGCGCCCCGTAGGGCTACCGGCGGACCCTACCACCCGTAGGGGGGGGGCCGTTTCGGCCCCCCCCCCTAAGATCTCGGAAAGTTACCGGCCGATTTTCAAAATTCAAACGGCGTTCGATAGCCCCACCCGGGAACTACCTTGTGACCAAATTTCATCGACCTAGGTCAAACCGATGACGTCACAGGTCAGGTGAAAGGTCAGATTTTCACCGTTCACAGGCAATTCAAGAAATGTGCTGTGAAAGCGAGTAAATTGGTAATTTATTGAAAACCATCGATGGTACATTGTTCGTCAAACACATACTTTGCTATCTGAGGTCACTGATACCAGGTCAGGTCACAGCGAGGTCAGGTCACCGGGGGTCACAATATGAATGTGTCGTGTGATACATGTTTTATGGTCCATTTTACATGACAAATGCGATTATGTGGGTTAGGCAGCCTTTGGGGCCAGCCTAGGGCACGTTTTTGTGAAGGTCAGGTCAAGGTCAGGTCAAATTAGGTCAAATTTCAAAGTTGATATTTTTGCATAAAATGGGTATTGATTCGATGCAGCTCGTCACGGGGAGTCTAATGGTGGTCTTCGTTTTGCTCTACGAGTTCTAGAATTGCCAAAAAATTGAGTTTGAAAATTTGACGTCATCATTTTTGAACAGTTTTTTCGCTATAACTTGGCCAAAAAACGAGGTATCGATCTGAAATTTGGTATGTAGATAGAAGACGGTAGGCACTATCACATATATTCCGGTTTTTTCGAAACTCAAAAAACTTTTTGGATTTTTTGGCGAATATATCCAAAAAAATGCTTTTTTGATTTTTGGGGGTCAAAACTCAAAAATTTCAAAAATTCGAGATAGCAGTTTTGTAGCCCTGTCAATACTACACCTTTTATGTCTTGATCATTTTTCTGTATCTTCAAAGCTGTAGTCCTGACAGGTCTTCTCGCGAAGGTCTTTTTTCGGTCGAAAATGACAGAACATGACGTCACTCTGACGTCATTTGTGGCCAACCTATCATAGCCTTTGGAAAAATATTTGGTCACAATGTGTAAAATTGATGCCCGGAGGGGTCCTGAAAGTTTGGTGGCGATATCTCCAGCCGTTTAGGAGATATCGACCGAAAAGGACAGGGGGGGCCGTTTCGGCCCGCCCTACGGGGCGCGGGTTAATTAACAGCGGTCGGCGCGCAAACGGGGAGTGGAGTCAATGGCGTCACAACCGGGGGGGGGGGGAGTCAACAGACAATGACACTCCACACACACGACCACCGACGGAAATGTACCGGCGGCATTATCGATGTCTTGCGAGGCAGGCTGCGCAAATGCTATAGACACCAGCGTGAACAGCTACTTTCAAAACCCGCACAACATGACAATGCTATATGATGCGTATTAACCCGCGAGTTGCTGGGGGGGGGGGGGCGTTAAACCCTCACTTTTTTCGCCGGGCCATAGCATAAAAACGGCGCGCCGCAGGCGCGCCAAATTTTGGGTACCTGTAGGGAATTGATTGAAGTTTATTGTGACACAGTTTTAAAAAAATCGGTCGGAAAATATTTGAGATATCGAGGTTTTAGTGACGTCATGATTTCTGAG